ACACGACGTGCTAACCAACACCGATCAAACATGCTTAATCGGAACGTTTAGCTAGTGGCTTGTACTTTTAGATAAGTTCGAGTGTAGTATAATTTACCATCGCATTTTCGGTTTTTTTAGGAATAAAGTTGTGATGAGCTCTAATTATTACTGAGTAGATTCACAAGGCATTTTGGTCGTGATCTGAACCTGAATTACCGTCCTACAGCATTTTATTCAAAAAAGAAAATTGGCTTGTTGAGATGGATAATTACATTCAAATGAAGATATTTGACTTTCTATAAAAGGCAGAGGGTTTTCGGGAGGACATTTTAACGCAATTATCTTGCATTCTTAGTGGTGCTTTGCCGTTGACTACTTGTTCTAAGTCATTGGGAAGTTATTTAGTGGCATACTATGTAACTTCCTCTTCAGTTATACAGTGAGTTCACGATTTAATGCATTGAAAGATATTTTTTGACTAAAAGCAAATCCACTAATAAATGAAAGAAACAGACTTTTTGCTGTGCCGGAGGTAAAAACGCTTACAGCTAATGATACGTCACCTTATACTATCTCGAATGTTCATGAACTATTTCGATCTGACGATTGATCGCAAGCTGATCCTGTGAGCCCTCTGTATTAGGTGCTTTAAAGCATGAGCGGGAAGGCACAAATAAGTAGTTTAAGTAGTTTACCTATTAAGTGCGAATATTATGAACGCCATTAGTGTTGCTTGTTCAATTAATGTGTTGCTGAGTTTTCAGTGTCCCTAAATATGTAGTTCACGAAATGGTGAAACAATCATGTGCGTATTTAAGCGTACAAAGCGTTGTTTATTATAAGCCTAGTAGCTGCGTTACCTTATAATGTACGTAAAAGTTTCAAAATTTTTGTGCCTTTGGTTATATTTAATAAGTAAGCTTAATGGTTGGGTCAGTTTTTAAGTAAGTGCGTCCATAACCAGTTATGTACATTAAACTGTAATATTCTATCATCACTTTGTAGCCTCATCGGAGAGAGATGGCACCCAACTCTAGTGAGATAGGTCGTCTACCAACAAGGACGCCTTTCTGAGTGCCCTGCCAACTAGCTGTACTCTCGCATCTATCGCAGTAGCGGCTGCGGGCACGTAACTTGTGGTGCTGAAGCTAGTGTCGAGAAATTTGCATTAATTAGGCCCACACATCAGTCAATATTGAGGGAGGCATCAAAAACATCATCGAAAGACAAGCTTATACAAATTGAAATCTCTTGAATGAATAGATATCTACAACAAACTTGCCGCTCACGGAGAAATCGCCGAACAGATGCAATTTTTTGAAAGCCTCGTAAACCGTTTTGTCTCGATCGGCTCATTTTTTGGATTGGTCTGAATTTTATGCTTACAGAAATTTGCATGCTTTTGGTACTAAGAGCAAATAAGTAGGCCAGCTTAATGATCTTGCTTTACCTCTTGATGATTACCCAATATATGATGTAAAGAGAGTAATATATCCTTTAAGATACCCACTTTTGACATCAAAAGCGATTTCTAGACGTTCTGCATAAAACATTTCAGGAAAACCCTGAAGGTTAGTTTCATTAATCCCCAGTCATGAGTAATCCAGGAGTATTTGAGTGAGTTTTATCAGCCAAATCCATGGACTTTATTTGTTTAAAAGTGCTCCTTTTAGGAGTCATTTCTTTTAAATGGAAGTACTTCTTATAGTTACTCATCATTATGACGCTGCAAAGTCTTTTTTTCCATTTATTTGAAGCTTTATTACTTACCTGATATGCGCATTTCGCGTTTCTACTCCAATTAATTTGAGATTATCTGCTCTGTACCTTACTACCATTGTTTTCAAGTCAAAGGCAAAGGAGTTGACTTTGCCCTGGTTGACTGTACCCTTTGTTTTTTTCGCTAGAGGCCAGGTAAGTGTGATTGAAAGCTGCTGTTTCGTGTGTGTGTTCAAGTGAATGGGGCGGGGAGTGCTGCTTTTGTCCCGTAAATCATCCAACCCAGGGGGACGTAACTGCAATGGGGTGTGGGTGGCGGCACGCCTCGCCCCTGCAAGCTCGCCTAAGAGGAGTTAACGGTTTGCATCTAGGTCTGGTAGATGGGATAAACATGCGTAAATTTGACGACCTGATAAGCGCGGCAATGTGAGAGAACGTTATCTCCGACCCTGTTTTAGTATATAATCGCACCACAGATTGAGCCACTATTAACAGCTCAAGCACAATTCCATTGCAGTGACGATAATATGTTACTGCCTTAGAGTTAGCAGGTCGCTTGATCTGCCTTTGTAACAGCCATACATCTATCACACTAAGTTAATGTTAATGGATTCCTCAGATTATTCACTTGCACTTATTTATTGTAACACAACTGAGGTTTGCATGATGACAGGCGTATTTTTAAAGAGGTATCTTCCCAATGTTTCAGACTACTATAGATTTGTATTCATTTGAAGACAAAAATTTAGACCTATATAGTGATAGACACTATTGAATAACAATGTACGTATTAATAAAATTTAAATAATAAAATACGGGGAATACGCGATTGGTTCTCAGGCCCTTAACAGACCCTAAACAGTTTATCTCAAAACTTTTATCAACTTACTTTAATCTACTTCATTTGTGAATCCTCAAAATGTGATTGTGTCAATCATCCTCCAAGTTTTCTTTGCACGCCGATACTTTGAGGAGTTTTCCCACTTAACTGCCAATTCACTCTTCTGGTCACCGCAAATGGAGAGCCCTCAAATTTCATGAATGCGGTGGTTTCCAGTTCTCGAAAGCCTTTAGGGGTGTACACAACTCAGGCAAAGCTGCCACTGAGGTGACAAAAAGGAGCAACATTTCGTGATTTGGAAAAATTCCACCACCCGTTTAATCCACTCTTAACCGAAATTAGCTGCTTTCGCTTTGTGGACCATCTACAAATCTACTTGAAAGCTACTTTTACGTGCAAGACTCAAAAACTTAGTATGTTTCAGCGCTATCATATCCATCAGCCAGCATAAAGTGACATGACTAAAAACCCTAACACCTAGTCATCCTTGGACAAAAGTAATTTCAAAATTTGGAATTTTAGTCCCAACAACGCCTGCGGTTGTTTATTAAAGTCTTGCGCAGAAGCCAAAAAAAATCCTGAATGTGAATCGGGCATACATATTTCGCGCTTGTATAAAATGATAATATACTGGACAAGTATTTCAAATGCAGGACTTACACCTTTAGACTAACCTTAACGTGTTTTGCTCTCACTAAGCAAAATTATCGATAAGGAAGTCATCTGCACCGTTTGAGCAGACCTAGCATGACTGCCTACAGTGGCGACTTTACCTGAAGCAAACGAAACTTTGGCAGCTAATTCAGTCAGCACTTTTAAGAAACAATCGGATGGTGAAAAGCAAATCTCGGGGTTTGTAATGATCAGGTTGTTAAGAAAACCCCAAACTAAAACTAAATCCGTATTTTCAAGAGGGACGTGCAACTCATTATCGGGCGAGATTGCTCAGACCAAAGTGGAGACTAAATTTTCCAATGTCGACATCACTTTTAGCTCTACATCAACTACTATGTTCTTGTGCTGCCAGACTCATTACTACATTTCACCTTTACGGTCAGGGGATCCATCAATTTGCCGAAAGTAGGAAGCATTTTTAAGCTATCTCTGAACAAGAAAACTGATTCTTTTAAAGCTGTTCGTCTACCAGGCCGAAAGAATCTACAAATGCCACAAATTTGCAGTCTAATGTATAGTAACATGGTAGCCATACTAACATTCAGTCATATGGTGTCTTACACCCCATCAATAGCAATCTATGGTAAGCTGAAAAACCTCAATATTGATATAACTTTCTGTAATACTTATGTTGTTTTAATGTACCTTTTAGGGAGGAGGCAATCAGGAAATTCGAATCTCGTTACCGGATCGTCCTCTCCCTTACCTAGTGACTGCAGCTCCCCTGCTTCTTGAACATTGTATTTTCCCTATCCATCTTTTCACCTTTAATAAAAGTGTCCAAAGCGATGCAACCGGGCTTGTCTAGGAACGCTATGAATAGGGAATCGGAGGCCGATGAGTCTCGCTTCACATTTCAAAGAGAACGATATTCAATAGATTGGTCTAAAATAAAATAAAGAAGGTCAATTATCAAGGCACTTCCCATTCTACTTCGTTACTTAAGTAATATCAAACAAATGATCTTTGTAAAAGCACTACATTAATCACGTTGGTTGTTCAACTCAGTTTTCATAAAAGGTCACCTTGTGTCTTGGTCATTGTTAGGTCGCCGGGTGGATGGCCCCTAAGCCGTGCAGTAGCTCCAAGCCCTACTGTGTTGAATATGTATTCATCTATATTCTGCCCGAGTATTATGCCCTCATTTATCTTAAGGAAAGTTTTGGGGCGCTAAAAGTACCGTCCTAAAGTTAAGCAAACGCCTGTGTGTGTATGGACAAAAGTCTATTCGAGATTCGCTCAATTTTTAGCACTAAAGCTGTAAAGTTTGAAATATTCTATCGTTTCATTTGTAAGGTATTGGTTTCAAGTTATAAACGCTGCACGAAATGCCAATACAAATAAGAGCTGTTAGCGTAATTGTTGCGACTGCATTTGAGTTCCAAACCATATTTCTCGCTGCTCTTTCAGTTAGAAAAACTACAAGTTTTTAGGAATGCTTTTAATAGTTGTCCAAGAATTTTGCGAAAATTGCAGCCCATACAAAGTACCTATGTTTTTCCGACGTTATTTCAGTTACTTCTATCTATTTTTATCTTCGTTTCTTATTTTTTTACACATTAATATCGTCTTAAGATCATAACTCATTAATTTCTAGCACAAATTTAAAATTTTTAGGTTACTTTTAAGTTGCAGTTTATGTTTGGTGTTAACATATTATGTTGATGCATGGTATACCCCGTTGAACACCTAAAAGGCGTCATGGTGTCCTTATGGAAAACGTTAACCAATCAGGATACCATGAGACGTACAAGCAGGCCGTTTTGCTCACAAGTCAGAAATAATGACCTCTATCGATGCTGATCAAAAACATACCCATCAAATAGGTGACGCTTTCCGCAAGGTTCATGATTTAGTCAATATACCGTTGTCTGAGGATGTCCCTATCATTCAAGCTGCAAATTTTTCGGTTCTTTATCAGGTTTGTGTCATTAAAGATTACAATAATTCTATAAATCAGGCCAATACTGACACTAATTTCGGTGATATTTTTGCGTTTAAGTCTGCATTTGCTGGTTCTTATGAAGATGCTATGGTTTATGCTGAGCTTCAAGATCTGTATAACCAGGGTCAAGAGTATGCAATAATGCTTTATACTTGGCGATCTATTTCACGCGCGCTACCGCACGTAAGTTTGTACATTCCTTTCTTCCAAGTGTCTACAGATTCGGTCGAATGAACAACCGCACCGCTTGGAAATTTACCAGAAAACACTGGAAATCTTAGAGCCACATGCTAGGAAGTTGCGATCTTTCATGCTATTTCAGGTTGTCGTTTTATTCGTCTCATCTGTTAGGAAGGCGCAATAGATTGCTTTGTAGGAAAATTAAAAGGACTTTCTCGGAAAGAATCCCACCACAAGTCAGGCTTCATGAACCAAATGTACATGTTTATGCTTGGAAAAATGATGAAAATGTTTGCGCTACTTGATGAAATGAAAAACATGAAAGCTAGTATGAAGAATGACTTTTCTCACTACAAACGGTTTGTATCACTAATCAACATTGATTTCTGTTAGAGCTTCACAATTTATGCAAAGTGGAGGAAGTGATAATTCCACTGATGTCCGAATGACAGTCAATGAAATGCAAAAAGTCAGCATGTTCCTTGCTACTCAAAAAATAATCCGTGATAAACTAAAAGATAGCCTCTCCCAAATTGACGGTTTCGAAGATATTCTTGCTGAAATTATCAATAGTAGTGTTAGTATGTATGAAAGTCGTGTTTATGTTTTGCCGGAGGAAAAGCATACTCTTGTCATGGTAATTTCTGTTTAGATTTTCTATTTCCTTGCCATTTAGGTTATAGCGTTTTCTCTTTATTTGCTTGATTCATCAAAAGTTGTTGAGGGAAAGCAAATTGGTGTGACTATCCCCAAAATGTCCAAAAAAATCAACATCAGTAAAATTGACCGAATTTTTAAGGAATGTGAAGTTGTCAATCTCTTCGGTGATATGAGTGTGGAACCTTTCAATTACGTGAAACAAACTTTATCATATGATCCTTCCAAGTGGCCAGAATGCACTGGTATTCGTGTCTCTAGCCAAGGTGTTTTGCTGACCCATATGACTCGCTTCGTGTGCGTCTCAATTTCTTCCAATCATTGCTTCTAAGTGATAGTGTTCTTGAATGCCCTTATCACACTTTTTAAGTTTTTCTTCGCTCTATCAGTTGCGTTCTGTGAATCGTAGGATCACGCACTGTTGGTTAGTAGTTTTACAAAAGTGTAATTGGAAGCACCATTCGTTATTAACGCTAGTCGAGCAATCAGTTTTGTCACTCACCGAATGGGTTGAATTTATCAACTAGCAATGAATATACCTCTCTGACTGCTGATCTCGCTTGGCACACTAACATCGCAGTCACGAGAACAAGTGAGCGCTCTGTCGCCGAGAACCGTGAGCTTTATGATCTGGCGCTTCGTGGGCTGCAGTGTCTCTCCTCCTGGTCTGTGCAAGTTCTGGACACTTTCACATGGAAGCTCGCCCATTGTGCAGACGAGCACACAAACCGCGAGTGTCCCAAAGATGCTGAAAACTACGAACGCGGTACTCGATACAACTATACCTCAGAGGAGCGTTGTGCTCTTATCCGACTTATCACAATGATAAAGTCAGTTCAGACGCAGTTGCTGCGCCTCGAAACCAATTACTCAGAGGCAATTCGTCGATCTGTCTATCTCGACTTGCATGGCCTTCTCAACCACTTCCGCAATCTTCTCATCAAAGCTAGCAGCAAGAAGAAGGAAAAATTAAACTGAATCGTTTAGTTCACGCGCTCCAAGCCACCTGTGCTGATCAGGCGGTTGTTGACGCGGTGGAGGCGGATCTTCTGATGACTGGTTCCAGCAACAGCGTTGGTAAGTCTGGCTGGGGAGGGCGATCAGTGTCGGCAAAGGCCTCGGCACAAAACAGCCTCACCTCGGGTTCAAATTCGACGTTGGCTAAGGCGGCTGAGTCGATGGTCGGAACCCCCATTCGTCGTGTGGGTCCCTCTTCCACGCAACTCTACTTGGTTCGCACCATGCTTGAGCTGATGATTGACCAAGCCTCGCCAGCTGCAAAGTACCACTCACTGAGGAAGGAACTTGATAGCAATACAATGGCCGCAATTGAAACCTTCCTAAAAAACAGCTTCTACTGGCCCTATCTTCTCAACTTTAGCGGTGAGATGGGTTTGTTCACTCTGAAGTTAGCCTGCTTATTTACTTTTGCTTCTGCTTTGCAAAAGTTGACTACTCTATTACTTTGGTCAAGTTCAATTGTGCCATTTTGATTGCTACCTCTGTCGCTTTGATACTTCTAATGGGGGCAAATGTTTCGGCTATCAATAGTCTGAACTGGTATTGTGTTTCTCCAGTGTATAGATTAGGGGATCGTTCTTTGGGTTTATTTTTCCACGTGAACTTGGCTGCCTGTATTTTTTTATTTGTATTAGCACACCATATCACTGCTTGTAATCAGCCGGCATTTTCCAACTTATAAGCTATTTGTTTAAAGTGCAACACTAGTCCGTTGACCTTTATTATATTTATGTGGAGTTGTATTGCATTTTATCTACTCCCCATCCATCCATTTAGTTTCGTTAGTAATGACTGCATATCTTCTAATGTAGCTCCTGTTGAATAATTGGCCAAATGATGAAACTGCTCCCTTTTGAGCATTTCCTAGTGTTGTTGGCAGAATGTGCGTTTGAAATTTATTCGCCTTTTAATTACAAGTATTTCAACATTCCGTTCCCAATCTGTTAATCGAACATTTTGCCAACCACTACCTACTTGCATTTATACCTTAATAGTTGCATGCTGTTTTCGTTCGTACTTTGCACTTGTATTATTATGCTAAGTCACTGAATGTGTTTTGACTTGATTAAATAGTCAATTGCATTTGGCCATATCAAACATCCAAATTAGTTGCACACTGGAGTATCTAATGTTTCTACTCTCTTAACTCGCACGACTGTGGAAGAGTGCTTCTGCAATTTGCGTGCATCGTTTGGCACATATTGTCCCGATTTTTTTGCCTTTAAACACGAAATTGGATGGATTTATGACACTGATAATTTCCTATTTGTTGTGTGTTATTCTCTTAGGCCTTCGTGAATCTTTCGTCATACGTTATAATTTAGCTCGCTTCGGAACCTGCTAAGAATGTGTTTTATGCTCAGTTTACCATCAGTGCTCTCTGTATTTGCTTTAATTTTTATTTCCTAATCCTTTAGAAACGCTCGTTAAGTGCTGCGACCTCTCTCAGCTTTGGTATCGTGAATTTTTCCTGGAGATCGCCAACGGGAAGCGCATCCAGTTTCCCATCGAGATGAGCCTTCCCTGGATCCTAACCGACCACATTTTAGAGACACGCGATCCTGCATTGATGGAGTCTCTGCTCTATCCTCTGGATCTCTACAATGACGCCGCTGATTGTGCATTGAACCGCTTCCACAGACGCTTCTTCTTCGATGAAATTGAGGCCGAAGCAAATCTTGTGTTTGATCAGCTTGTCTACAAGTTGTCCGACCAGCTGTTCAGATATTACAAGCAATATGCTGCCTCTATCTTGCTTGATAAGAAGTTCCGGCTGGAAGCTCAAAGGGCTGGCTGGCGAGAGCCCTATCCTCAACCAAATAGATACGCTGCTGCCCTGATTCGCCAACGCAGTGTTCAGTTACTGGGGCGTTCTATTGATCTGTCCTACCTTTTGTCGCAGAGAATAAATAGGGCTATTGCGAAATCACTGGAAGAGGCCATCCAACGCTTCCTATGCTCTGATATAACTGCGGTTGTAGTAAGTTGTTCTGACTACCCTATATTTGAACAGAAAGGCGTTGTCAATAGTACCTTGTTTTATGTGGCTAACTGGAAATTGGAATAAGAGTTGACTTCGGAGTTATACTCTTCGGTTCTATGGGCCGTTCGGTTGGCAGTGGAAGATGAGGCATGTGTTTTAAGCAGCGATTCATGTTTATTTGGTAATGTCTTGATGTTAATGAATGTTCAGGATGACTCATTTCTGGTCCTCCCATTTATTTTGTGAAACAGGTTTTACTAAAATGACTAAAGTAGGCTTTTTTATTAAATCGAACACTGACGCGTGTCTAGAATCGGTTGTCAAATCGGATATTGGTTTCTGTGTAAAATTAGCGGCACCAAATCCTGTGTTTCTGTTTAGTCTTCGGATGTTTTTGGACCCTGTGATTTTAATCCGATATCATACAGGAGCTTGTTACTTTCATAAAGTAAATGTTGCGGTACCTTGAATTAACTCGAAATCTTGGTCGATCACTCCGTTTCAAGCCTCATGTCAGTGTTTCTTTTGTATGTTTGATAATATTACTGAAGTCGTGTCGCTATGTTGTTAAGAATGCTACCATTTTAGAGAAACTCATCCGCTCTACTTCAGAAAACGATGAATTTGTCGTTTAAGGAGCGGTGTTTACAGCGTTTTCAATATTTATGCCGATAATGTGTATCAATGAACGCTTCAAATTAGTTTCTTTTGTGCCATTAACTGCGTATTTTATGCGAACTTACTACTTAATCGTGCTTTATTGGTTTTTATGTCATTGGTAACTTAGCTGAATTGAGAGGTTCGTCTGGTCTACCAATTATTCTCTTCGTTCAATTTAATTAGTATTGATTTTGGGAAATCAATCAAGTGTATGAATATGCCTTCTCACTTCTGTACTTTTTTCCTGTAGGAACTGGAAGCCTTAATAGAGTGCAATCGCTTGTGTCATCGAATGCTCGCCGAACATCTGGAGCTGGATGACTTTGATGGCATGTTGCAGGAGGCGAACAATCTCGTCACATCACCACTCAGCAAGATCGCCTTCCATGTATTTTGGGAGGTTACGTGGGATTTGGTTAAGAACTACTGTTACAACGGCTCCACCAACAGGTAAGATAGAAGCATGCTTCTTTCTCAGTCTATACGATGTGTGCTTTGCTGTGCGACAATCTCACAATTCCAGTAAATGTTGAGTTTGACATTGTGTGTGCTCCTTTCGTTAAAGGTTTGTCCAGACAAAGTTTGCTCTAGCCGAGACACTCGAGCGTGAGAAACCCTCGCTCTGTGCGCCCGAGTACTTGTGGGGCAGCAAGAGTCTCAACTCCTGCTATGAAGCTATTTTTCAGCTCTCTCGGGGTTTCATCGGTGCCCCACACTTCTCGGCCATCTGCAGGCTCCTCGGCTACCAGGGCATCTTTATCATCTTTACCGAAATCATGAAGTTCTGCAAATCTCTTGTAGGCTTTTTTCGTGTAGTCATGTTTGAGGCGCCTTTTTTGAACTTCTTTGACTTTTCTACGTGGATTTTAACTCTCTGAAATCCACTGGGTGTTGTCTCACGTGTTTATGCCACTTCTGATTATGTATTTTGCTCTAGGATACTAAGAGTGGATCTGGCAGACAGTGGTTTTAATCATGCATCAACAATCAATATAATTAATCCAATCCGCTAATGTGTTGCTACACTGATATCGTTGCTCCCACAAGCTTGATTTTACGCTCCTATCATTGAATACTTCATTTGATAGCCACGCTTGATTGATTACAGTACAACCACTACCTACCTTGCTTTATAAAACATTCATTTGGAGTTACCCTAATCATTTAAGCATAGTTTCTGGATTTTCATATCTATTTATTGTTATATGATGAGTACGCAATTTCGCCAGTGGTCCTGAGTTACACTTTTTGATTAACCCATTGTGCCTTTTATTTCCCCCATTTCTCTGACTGAATTGCATGCATTTGGCTTTACATATGATCTGTCTCACAATCCTTTGGCAAATTAACAATACCCTTCCCGTAGTGTAGTTGTTCCACCTTTCAGGTTGTTTTATGACCTGATTCTGTTTTTGCAGTTTATTCGGTTAAATCTGTAAAATTATGACCGAGGTTCTCTTACTCTGCATAAATCAAATTTCATTCTGCAAAATTTCGTTACATCATTTTTTTCGTTGCTACATTGCTAGTCAATTCAGCTGAGAGGGGAGATGGCATATTTGTTCAAAGTCAGGCTAGCTTCTTGTCTCTACTGCTAGAATTATTTCGGGTTATCTCCCAACCTTTGGTGACTTCTTACCATTGTTGCACATCGTCGTAATGAGGGCATATGATGGTAGCATAATCTTCATTATTATGGCTTTTTGCGATTAATAATAAAACCTACGACTACCGCTTACTGATTGCTGCATTGCCACATTAAAACCTGATCTTTGGCAAATTTCCTTAAAGTCTTTACAAAGTTTTGGAATCTTGATACGCGATATCTCTTATTCACATTCACGCTTATGCACTTCTTTGTTCTCCAATAAGTACGGGTTCCTTGTCGACGCTGAATTGGCTCTTAAATGAATAGCCGCCTCATTACCTCTTCCTTTTGCAGGTAAACCAGACGATAAAGGAGTACGTTCGCCGCATCGCGAGTATGATGCCCAAGTCGGTGTCTTTGCCCAGTCCCACGGCCAACTCAGACAGCCAGTATGGGCTCTATGCCAACGCTCTGCAACGCGTCTATCAATACTCCGATCTACGGACCAACGTGTGCCAAAACTTCCGCGAGTTCGGCAATATCATCATTTTCTGTCTACAAATGGAGAAGCGCCTTGTACGTTCCAGTTAGTGTCAAATCGTGGTTGCGGATTTCATTTACCTGATACTGATTGGCTACGGAAAGTAAACTGTCTATTCCGTCTACTTTTGACGGTGTTTTGTGTCTATCGATAACAAACCTCACTCGTAAAGTCCTTTGGTCAGCAGGATCGCTACTGATTAGTGCTCGTGGGTCTTTTTGCTAATCGTAGTATACAATCTAGTGTTAGTAAACAATTAACCTTTTTGTATGCGATTTGGGTCAATGGGCTTGTTTTATATGGACCATATTTCTGTCCGCACTGTGTATTTCGAAACATTGGAGCCTCATTTCCTTACTGCAGAAAGAAGTAACTAATGTTACTTATGCCTTTAGTTAAGCCGATGGATATGTGGGGAAATATTTAACTCATCACTTTTTTAACGGATAGCGGCCTTCAAAACTAATCATCTAAAGTTTTAATCTTGAAATTTGTTGTGCTGTGGGTGCATCCCTAAACTCTGTGGTGATTTGTTTGCTTCATAAATAAAATCCAAAGTAAGTGACACTGCTATTAAAAAAGACTATAAATGAGGCATTTGTAAATAATCCTTATTATTCTATTCCATGTCTTCGAATTAACATTCGTTCATATGGCTCATGTCAGTAAACTATTCCGCTGCTGTATAGACCACTGAGGATCTTGGTGATCTCAAGCATGCTGATGCTTTCATCAGAAAACCAGCCAGTAGTACAGGTGTGTTCCCTCTTTCGGTTAATTATGCTTTATTTCCTCGAGTTTTCCATTTTTTCATTCAGTTTCGCTCACACAAGTTGTTATATTTCTTCATTCCGTGTAATTATCATAACTCATACAGTTGTCCCCATTCGGTTACTATTGATATTTTAAATAGCATTGTTGTGATAGTGAGTTAGTATTTTTTGACAACTGGCAGGCGAAAGACCCATTTCGGATCCGAAAATGCGGGATTCGTCAAATCAAATTGACGGCCTGAATATTTACAAAGTCGCCTCGGCTGTGGGTTCATCTGAGGTGAATTCTAAACTGAACATTTTTGGTCTCTGTCTAACAAGATCTTGAGTTTCGTACTTTACTAATCTTTGATAAAAATGCGTCACTTATATGTACTTTTGTCGCACTTCTATTATCATGACTACCTGCAATTATTGATTACAATGTTGTACCAATATTGTCTGCTCAAACTGGTCATTTTTAATTTTAATACCGTTTCTGCGAAGCAATTCATTGTTAGTTAACATGAATAGCTCTGTGCGTTAGAACTAGCAGGCTTATAACCTTTCAATTTTTTTCAAAAATCTTGTTTCATTGAGCCTTTTTTCGTTCATTTTTTGGCCCCAAACCCAAGGATTTAGTAGCTTTGGTTTGATACCTTGTTTGCAGCTTGCCGAGCTGGCTGATGGGAACGAAGTTCTTACCCGGGAACGTTTATGCTGTGGACTGGTGCTCTTTGAACAGGTAATTAAACCATTTCAGCTCAATTCGGTGGAAAGTCAGTAATTAGGGATTTCTATTACGTGAACGTTGGACTACTAACAGAGCGCTACCTCATGTTTGTGAGGCATCTCTCAGTGCAGGAAGTAGGAGTTCTTCTATCTCATGTATTAGCTTCTCAACCGTATTCGGGAATTTCTAAACGAGGAGGAACCGCAGACAGGTGCAGCGAACGGGACGGCACGTCAGATGCCGCGCAATGTGTGGTATGGCAGTGAGGCCTCTGGCACCACGGCGGACACAGACGAGCTCATCGAGATTGAGGGCTGTACCCAATTCCACCGTGTCTGGTCTGCCATCCAGTTTGTTTTCAGTACGCCCTTTGGGGAGAACGAGTACACCGTGGAGGAGATGTTCGGAGAGGGACTTAACTGGGCTGGGTGCACTCTTATCACTCTGCTGGGCCAGCAGAGACGCTTCGAGATGCTCGACTTCGGAGCTCATTTCGTCAAACTCCAGAGGAGTGACAAGTTGGACACCTGCAAAGATGGCGTGGTGCGTCATTCTTTTGCCGAATTGCGGTCACTTCCCACTCAACAGTCCTGGTTCCTCTACTACCTCACCATCACTATTTCTATCTAATTGCGATTACTTTCCACATTGTTTTTGTTGTTGCTCATATAGTTCTGGTGAACACGTCATATTTTCCTAATGTTTCCTATTTCACGGTTACAAAATTGGTCCATTTGGCTATTGGCGCAGAGGTAGAATCTGAGGGCGTCGATGTGCCTCAATGTATTGCTTTCATGATTTGTGACTAACCGTACTCCGCTTCTTTGATTTCATTACGTTAGTTTTATCCATTTTCTAAGTCAACGGCCGTTTTGACTTTGCGACTCGTTTTGACCACAACTTTCCATTTGAATGATACGAGTTAAATTCTTGCACTCCCCATCCTTCCGTTTTAATGCAGTTTTTGGGTCGTCTTTTTTTTCTGATGTAATTTGCTGCGTAAAAATGCTAATAGTTTGCTCCTTGTTCACATTCGGCAGGTATTTAAGGGTGATTTTGTACGAGTTTTTGGGAGCTTCAAAATTGTCCATTTCCTTAGCTCTGACGTGCTGTGTAGATGAGTTTTCAGTGGAAAACCAGGAGTAGAAATTTTTCATAACTGTGTTTGGATTTGTGCAGTGAGTCGAGCATAAAACCGTTATGCTTATATGTACTTGCGTTCTGGCTAATTTTTTCTTCAAATATCGGGTGGTTGTTGCTTTTGTGTTTACTTGTGTCTTGAAATTAGTTTATTTATGGAGACTCCCTCATCAATTGATGTTATTTCTTGATTGGTTAACTGTTTGAGTTCCCCATTTGTCCTCAACAGATTGATGATTCGTTAAAGTGTAGCTTTTAACATTGCCCTTCTGCCTTACGCTTTATGGCTACTGAGTTTTAGCCATCGTAAAAACCACACTTTCAGTAAGGCGAAGTGTTTAAAAATCGCCTAATAGCAAATCTCACAACAAATTTAGTTGTTGTCAATCTATCGTCTTAGTGTCTTGCGCGTTTGGCAACTCGTCTGAGCCGTTTCAATGTTCTGAACCGGCAGATATTTGCCACTCTCAACAACCACCTACATCCCATCGACAGAGCGGAAGATCGAGCGAACGTGCGCCACTTTCCGCCGCCACAGTGGCCACGTACCTTTTGAGAGAATGGGTGGATGTGCGAGTGCGCCTGCATGGCAAAACCGCCGCCTTTTCACCTTTCCCCTCCTCTACACTTGTTCTCCTCATCCCCCCTCCTATCCCAATGTGCACACGAATGCTCCGTGTCATTGCCGTCGTTCCCTCCTTGGTCTTACCGAAGAATCATGGTACCTTTGCCTTCCTCCCGAAATTCTTTTGTATGATTTTTACCACCTACTCAATGACAATCGTGTCGCAACTTAACACTGACTTTCTTGCCTTTGATTTGTACACACAATTATGCGCTTAACTTTCTCAACATTAAATGCCAGTTCTGAGAGGCACTCAGTTTGAAGGGCTCAAATGTCATTTTAACTAGTATGGATAGTAGACTCATCTACTTGTGTTTCCGTAAAGGAGTGTATGTTATCTCTTAACAATTTGACTCGAAGCATGGCAAGTCAATGGTGAATGTAAATCAGTGAGACTAAATTCCGCTGGTGTCATGTTGTTGTGTTCTGTTCGGTTTGTCCATAATTCATCTTCGCACTGAGCCTTAGCATAGGTGTCGATTACCATATTACTTGCCTCAACCAATAATAATAATAAAGTGCTTCACTGCCATTTATATTTAGTCGCTTAAAATGCACTCGAATGCTAGCTGTATTTTGCGATCTCGACAGCCGTGTTGGGTGATCCCAAGCATGGCATTGAACAGCCCACCAGAGGAGAAATTTGAAGAACATGCAACTTTCAGGCCTTGGTTGGGACGCCTACTCGATAAGCCCTCCTCACGAACACGATTGGTGTATCAGCGTTGATTGTTGGATTAAGGACTCCTTAGCCTTGCCCTTCTCCAAACACTCATGAATTTCTGGGACAATTCAAACTTTTGTAATGGGGAACGTTTATATTTTTGTTGGGGATGAGTGCAAACGCAGGAAAGCCTTCCTATTAGACGACCCAGCAGCTCCTGTTTCTGTGGCCAAAGGCCAAGATAAAAATCGGCTACTACAAGCGCGCCCGGCTGGGCGGACGGCTGGGTGACTCATGTTCAGGCAGTGTGCGTCAACATGGTGGCATCCACATGCGCACTCATCGTACGTCATTGGTTACTCATGTACGTCGGTCACTAAGGCCACTCGCTGTTTTGACGCCTTTGTTGATTATCCGCTTGGAAGCTTGATGGGATCAAGGCCGCTTCAAAGTGACCCTCAGTTCCAAACGAGTTCATTTTAAGCCGGTGAAGTCGGAGTAATCAATGAAATGGAACTACTCCAGAGTTGTTTTCACGGTTAATCAAGTAATGCACCAATCAAACGATTTTATGCAGGAGCCATTTGAACAAAGGTGATAGTTTTAGCTAAGTTTGCAAAATTATTCCCATTAACGACATTAGAAGTTCATGTCCCTGAGGCCATTTTTGCATGCAGGTCGGAAAATGCATGAGAGGACGTGGTTAAGCCAACGGGCTCATACTTAGCTATCCCAAAGTACTTTCCATTAAATGTATTGTTATTGAGTGAGCTCGTGATTTCTTTCGTATTGCTCGCATTGTGAATCAAATGTGCCTTTTAATTTAGCTTCAAGATGGTTAAATTCCTCTCCCGATGGGATGTATCCGATAATTTTAACGGATACAGAAGATTGCTTGAACAGTTCCCGAATCCCTATAGGTTGTGTAGTTCATGTTACACAAATTCGTATACCTACTTTCTATTAAGTTTGTCATATGTCTAGGTGTTTTTATAATTTCCCTTCGCAGGCTGTGTATCGCTGTCGAGACCGTGTTGAAAAGGTGGTGGGTTGGGGCCTCATCTAGTGCTGCAGATATGTTAGCCGCCTTTGAGAACACCAGGCCTTTCCCACTGCGTTGGCTAGCATCTCTCCTCGCTGTTGGGACACGTTTACCCCAATGCATTATGCACTCGCCGGTTGGTGGATTTAAGCTACCTTCGCTCGGGCATTGATGCTCTGTCTATGGTTAGGAGGAGTTTACTTCAAGAGCAGCTGATGCCTTAAAACTATTAAGCTAATTAAATTTGGACACAGACCTCGACCCAAAAATACATATTGTTGTGAAGCCAGGGCATTGAGCCTCTTCACTTTTGCCAATTGTGAGAAACAATTTTTGCGTTCACTTTCCAGGAACACAGGCATATACCGGGTGCTATAATTACACCTCCAGCGACCACATGCTTCACGGTGAGGCCTTAGGTGCCAATCGATAAAATCAGTTCAAAATACGCGCATGGCATGGAATGCATATTTCAGAAATCTTCATGTTCATGCCGCAGGGGGAAGAATGTCTAATGGAAATTTGAAGCCGGGACCAGCTGCAGGTGATTCGGACATTAGGAACAACCCCATAATCGAAGCATTTGTAAATCGGGAGAGTGAACTGGGTACCTTGTCTGAGCCACGACCGACAGCACTTCAAGTGAGCACTCTCATCACTCCCGTTCAGCACCGTCAGTCAATGCCGTACGAGGGAGTGAGTGCGAGGTTGGCTGATTATCCACAGTCAGCTCGGATCTTTAGCGGTGTGCACGTGACACCAGTCCATTTAATGGGTCACACCTCCGTAAATATCCGCGACAATCCGTCAATCCAATCAAGTCAGAGTCAACAAAACAATAACATGCTCTTTCAGAAATCATCACTAGACGTAGAATTGTCTGAGAAACAAAACCGAAGGGGAGGCCCTAAAACCAACATTGTGCAACATTCCTGTGTTGATGATGATGAAACAAGTGATTGTTTAAGGGATCAAGTTTCATCGCTGTACAAATCTTCAAATTCGGCACGGAATTACGAGGGCATGCTATGTAAAACGATAACCTATGGCAAGGCGCATATTTTCTGTTTGTCAGCATCGATTGTGACCTTTGTTCTTATCCTTTTCGAATCCCGTTTCCTGCTTGCATGTTTATACACAGAAAATGACTGCGCTACCGTCGCATCCTTTGTATTTCGTGCAGCTCTGCTGTCTATCATTATAATTCTACTTGAATTAATAAAACTGCTTCTTCAGAGAGTGAAGTCGACTAAGTTGACAAGCCCGTACCCTGCAAATACCGCCAGCGCTGACCTTTCCGTGCCAGGCGATGGTTTGGAGGTGCGCTTTGGGAAAAGCACTGCTCAGCCTGTTATAAGTGTATTCTCTTCAGTGGACCGCGTTGTAGGTTGGCGACGTTGTTTCGATGGAAAAAAGGCATTAATAACCGCAATTATGAGCTCGTTTTATTTAGTTCTTCTTGCCATTCTTTCGGATGCAGCTATTTGGCTTCCAACGAAGCATTTGAATTTCCTAAAGCATGAGACTTTGAGGAAAGTATCCAATGCAAGTTCATTCGTCATCAGGCCGACAGAGGAGTGTCCCATATTAGTCATTCATGTTGGTCTGGTCTGCCTCGTTTTTCATGCACTAGCGGTGACGCCGCGACTTGCCATATGTTGCATCAGGAGTTGCGGTGATGGCATTCGCCTCCGCATTGTACATCGCAGATCCACGGTCGTGCATGCACCTGTTTCCCCTAATGGGAACGCTGTTAACTTCCACAGACCAAATGGCCATGTCCCGTCAACGTGCCAAAAATCGCCCACTTAATATATCCAGTGAGGCAGCTAAATCATAAACCTTTCGCCTTAAAGCTATTGCTTACATGAGCACTTGTTCCACTTGAAATAAATACACTTTGATTAAATGAAGATTTTGAAGTTTGAAAACTTTATTATTGAAACCAATGAATCTGCAACCGTGTCCTAAAAGCCTGATTTTTTGTTACAAAACAAGCTGTGTTTGATCATTCCAGCGCATTAACATCAAGAAAATGTTAAGGTAGTACATCCGCCTAAATAAATTGCAATAGCATTGCCCGGAGACTAATATTTCCTTTGCATATGAATTGGTTTAATAACGCGTTCCCATTCATTAGTAAATTACATGGACACATCTGTCACCGTGTGTTCCATCAATTTGATCATCTCAACTAGGTCGAGCTCTCAATTGCAGTCATTTCAATGGAGGGTTCACTTCGTTAAAAGGGAGCATTATTTTGTGGCATTAAACAAATTTGCAAATATGCATTTCGTCACAGTGACCTTAGACTCTAGGAAATTTCTACAGAATCGCTGTACTTTGCTGACTCAGCTGTGTAAAGTGATTGGCTCTTTCCTCGTTTGTATTCTACCAAGAGCAGCTCAAAAGGGAAATAGCTCTTGAATTTCTTTCAAATTCACCAAAATGTTGGTATCAGCTTTGGAATTAGCAGTTTTCGGTAAGATTGTGGTCCCACATCTTCCATAATTTATAAACGAATGTTTGGATCTAATTACTAAAATAAGGAATTGAACAATATTAAAATAGTACACAATGTATTCATTTAGGGTCTTAAAACTGCTAGTGACTTTCAGTGAAAAGTCGCTTGCTGTACAGCAGATAATATGAATAGAAAAGTTCCTTCGGGTAGGCTTAGGGTTTTGCTTGGGCAGCGATAGAGAGTTGGTTGACAATGCATTATCTATACCTGTAATTTCATCTTGGATTATTTCCAAAGGTCCTTTGCGTCCACGAGTAGGTGTACGAGATCTAAGTCTATAGTCTAGGGTACCATAGCATTTATCAATCAATCTTCATGAAGTTGAACACCCCATTATATTGCCTCACCATCCGACTATTGTTGCCCAACAAAAGTTATCATGACTTCAGTCGAAGCTTTCATATGGGTCCCCCGAAATTTTCTTCCAAAGTACAAAGGCACAATTCGCGCACACGCTATGCTAAATGATTCCTTATTATTTGCATCGCATCACCAGCTGCGTGACAACGGTACTGGTGTCGATCCTTTCATATTTGGAATCGACCGTTACTAGCGTTTTCGCTGTGCAAAATGTAACCTGCCTTTGTTTGTTCAACTGATAAGCACGTGACACAGAAATACGACTGTTAAGGTAAGGGGCGACTAGTGGTGGGCTGGGCTGCGCCGAAATTCCTTTTTGTGTCAAACGCCTATTTTGCGTCCTTGTGTCTACGGCCACCTCTATTATCCCAAAGAGCAATCTTCCCCATTACAAGTACTTAGGTGGCATCTCGGGAGCTAGTAATTAATGCGTTCTACGAATAGTAAATCAGTCTGATTAATTTTTGACACCCCATAACTGTGAATTGAACCGCATGCTTTCAGTGACACTTTCCTCATTCAATGCTCACTACGTAACACACCGGAGGTACTTAGTTGGCATATATCGGTCAAATCATTTCCGGCGGATTAAGGAACTCAAGACCAGTAAACCAACAAAAAGCGCAATTAGCTTTCGAAAATTAAGTTACGTAGGCTATTCATTTCCATTGGAAGCGAAGTCTAAAAGTGACTATCACGCCTTAAAACGGTGTTCGCAAAATGTTGCATGAAATTTCTCAAACGACAAATCACCATGCTCGCCAGTTGCAATGGTGGGCTTGAAGGAGTAGAGCAGCTACAGCAACCAAAACTAAAGGCTGTGCAACTTGTCACTGCGGTGGCGGTGTAATGTGAGCCGAGGGGAGATGAGTCGTTGCTTTGAGTGAAAACGGAAATCGATTTACACGATTTGAAAAAGTGACGCCTCTCAAGGTCAGGCAAATGACCATAAAATAAGCGAGAGCAGGGCGATCTTATTATGTTAGGTGACGAAGGCGCCAATGTTCCTAGCTTTCACAACCAGCTTAGGCTAGATCGCATAGAAATCAGTAATGGAAGAGAGGGCGGCGGTTTGGACGAAACGTATTATGGGGCTTTCCATGAGGCGAAAACAAGAACTATTACTGGGCCTAACCATTCATTACCAAAGAACACACAATCATACCCTTTATCATCTAGTCATAACGGTGCACCTTGAAATAGAACACCTAACTCTAACATTCCAAGACTGATTTCTAGTGACTCTGTATCAGCGTTCGGAACTGACAGCGCTCTTGCTCGTCTTGTCAATACACCCGTCAAAAAGAGTGAGGAATCTCTTTTGTCAACAATTGAATGATGTCCACCCAAAAAAGTGGAGCATCAATCGCAAGGGAGCCTTCTGTTTTCTTTCCATGGGATTTCTTCTAACATTGTTCATTAAAGAAACAGCATTCCTTACGTTAAGTGTACTTCAAAATATTTGCCGGGCTGTAGCTGCACTTGTTACTATTGGTGCGGTGTTGGCCTGTTTCATGGCCCTAATGGATTGGATCGCCTGTTGGGTATCCTATAATTCAAGTGTCGCGAGAAAGGACTATACCGACCTCCAAAATCTAACGGCGAAGAACGAGCCTATCCATACGGACGCTAAAGCTTTGAGCCTGCTTCGACTTGAAAGTGGAAATAGCACCACAGATGAAGTAGGCACATGTACTGCCTATGAAGTACTGAAAGGATGCAGACCGAAATACGTGAAGGGTCATCGTGCACCGGCATGCGGCTGTATTCTATTTGTTTTCTGTAATGTATTTTTACTAAGCCTTTTCTACATAATAGCGTTTTTTGGCTATGGTCATCAGCTTTGGCTGGTCTGCATTCTCAGCAGTGCTGCACCAAAAGTATTTCTAGTGTAAATATGTAATTAACGCAGGAGAATCCCTTAAACTCCAATAGTAGTTTGTAATATTCTGAGTGTGTTGAATCAACCTTGTGTGAATTAGCAACACAAAACAACACAAAAAAGTTTTTGCAGCAGTTATAACTTGATGTTTGAGTTATTCGTACAGATTTAACGTACTCATAGCACTTAAGAAAAAACACTCCCTACTATCCAAATTTTCGTTTTAGCGGCTACCAAGTAGGGCTAACTCTTCGGCAGTAAAATGTTCCTACACTAATCCCTTCGTACATTCAAAAGGGTGGGCAGAAGAACGTTTTAGTGGTCCTAATGCATTATGTGCAATATCCAAGTTCCAACCACGCCTGTAACGACATTAGAGCAGCAGACCTGATGTAATCAACTGCCTACGGCATTGAAACAGGACAATTGCACCACATTACCTGTTTGTGCAAAAGTGGCACATTCTGGGAAGGAAGCAACCTAATATGAATAGATCACTTTTTCCTGTGAATCATGGCATCTAAACCGAGACAGGGGAAGCCGCATCAGGTGCCATTCAGACATGGAGCACTTTGGGTCGTTCACTTTGACCTGTTTGTAAAGCAAAGAAGAGAAACCCTTCTCAGAACCAGTCGTTCATGACGCTCTACAAACGCCTACGTAGCCGGTTTAATTTCTTCGGTTTTCTTGTACAAAGCAAAGCGGCCAAACCTCACGACGTCAACGCTCAGATGTCAGGGCTATTCACGATCTTAATAATGCGGATAACTTAGCCAGCCTCATACGCGTAAACCCCGGAGGGCGGTCACCTTTGGACTGTGCACCCAATGCCGTTGAAAAGTACCCGCGGATCCACACAATGCGCCAATTCCACGCGTGCCAACAAGCTTGATTACAAGGGGTGACTGCCCCTTGACTCCATTTCCGCCAGGTCTCCAGATGACGCTGCAGATACACGCGTCCCCGAAAACGTCCCTGTTTCGATTCGCTAGAAGCTTCCAATCTAGCGGCTGATTCCCAAACTCTCAAGATAGTCTCTCTCTCGTTCTACCCATCCCGTTTGGCTGATATCACACACGCACATTCATTGTGTGCAAATAATCACCACTAGGCAGGAACCCATCAAGAGGCATGAATGGGTGAGAGTGAAACGACCCCGCCAGCTAGCTGGTCATTAGGTGCCCGTATGCTGTGCCACCTTGCCTACCCATACAGGCTGGCAAATAAAGACGCCTTCTCAGTACTCTGATTGAGAACTCGATAGGGCCGGAGTTCACACAAATAAGCATCAAATAGGAAGAGGTTATTACCAGTCCAATCAAGCAAATCCCGGAATTACACCTCAGTAGTTATTAGTACGCTTTGCTCCAGAGGAAACCAATTAATTATCGGATTATTGCCAACATGGTCGAAAGTTGGGGCATGGGTTCACAGTCCACCAAATGTCGTGCTAATCCATTTCGATAATGCCGAGTACCAGTAACTGTACACCTAGGTTGAGTAGAATCTTTTCAAGAGGAGGCCACCAACTTAACCAACAAAAAAATACAATCTGAGTCCTGCAGCTAATTGCCTGCTGTCTATGACAGAACTTCCAAAAGCAGCAGCTTTGAAGACATGACATAAGCCACCACGACCCCTGTTAGCATTGTTCTGGTGAAACGGCCCCCAACATAAACCGAACGTTTGAAACGTACGTGTACCTTCACCTGATGTGCTGATGACAAACCGTACAAATCCGATTGTCAATGAATTCCTGCACACATTCTACGAAATTTAGGGATGATCGTGAACCCCTAAAAACCCGATGCCCGTAAATTGTGTGCACGTGGATAGGAATTAACGAGGAAAGAGGGGACATGCAGGGTGGCTATTAAATCGGATAGACAGTCAAACGTCTATTAGCTGCACAATCAGGTGCACGTACGAATGCTAATATTCTACGGGGTAGAGAGGGCGAAGGGGAGAGGAAACGCAAACGACGGAATGGAATTTCACTGTCATCGAAGATTCAGCAACATTGACTTAATTCTGAGGCGCCAGTTGGAGGACTTTCTGAGCGCTAATGGTGACGGCATCTGAAGGCGAACAGGATAAATTGGAGTTTGCAAGAAGCGAAAAGCGAATCATCGTTGATAGCGGAGGAAGGCGTAAACTTACCAACTTTCCTTTGTAAGCATGCAGGCTTCGGCGACCAGGTTATACCCAAAAGGTAGATAGGAATGCCCGTAGCAATAATTGCACACCCGTACACTGCGGTGGAAAAAACTTGTGCACTTAGTGAGCATACTTATTTTTTGCCTAAATTCAGTGTTCATTGGCATTAAATTAAATCATTGAGCGACCGCTGAGGTAAATAGGGGAAAGCAAACATTAAATGCTTGCTGTAATGAAAATGCTACAGTGCTACTTTGATTATATTTGCATTAGCCGTGTTCCAATGGTACACGTTAAAGCCTCAAAATATGCAGCAAATAAGTCATCCATTGGATGAAAGCAAAGAGGTAGCATTTACAACTGCTCCCAATAAACTCAAAAAAATCACACAGGTATCAATCAAGCGATATTAATATTGAGGCTCTAATATCGGTAATTTTCCTCTCTCAACCAAAATAACTAGAAAAATTCTTTCCAGGTTCTCCCCGTAATTAGATGATAAACTAACTCAATCGAGCAAAAACCTGAGTTTATGCACTCCATCAACTACCCTCAACCGCGAAGTTCACTAGAGCTTTTTTGGGGACTAGCAACATACAGTTGCCGAACAACACGGAAATCAAAAGAAATTTGAGATATTGGATGCTGATAACTTACAGGACTCCATGGGGGCACCAATAAATGAGAAAATGATGAGGAAAGCGCTCATTCCAACGTAGATTATGGGGAACAATATTGGCACCTGTGGAGAACGAAACCCGTCAACTACTTGCGAGCAAATGAAATGCATGCTCCAGATTCATTGGTCCAATCAAGATCCGCCGACATTCGCCACAGCGATCAGGCGAGACAATGCCCCTAGAATCCTATTGAAGCTAACTTATTCGATTTCTAACCTGGCTATAGTTTATCGACGTGGGTCTAGCTACAGAGCTACCGATTTAATTGAAATGTGGATCATACTTGAACCGCCACAGGTGAGTAAGTGCAAGACAGTAACAATTTTGCATGTTTACTAGTACGCGCCACAGTATTTAAATGAAGCAGTTACGATATAAGTAATTCAGGCAATGATAGTGCGAATAAGATGAAACCCATCATAATTACGTCGGTCCTTCACTCAACCACGACTAAACGAAGGGGAGGATGCTTACCCGAACAGGACGGATGGCCTCCTTACGAGTTATCCGGAAGATGATGACGATGAGAACAGAGAGAGAAATCGCCAGCCATTGCACGAAACCGAGATAGTTCATCAGGGCGTACAAATCAGTGACCGAGAGGTATAGCAACGAGAAGAATGCCTAAAATGTGCAACAGTATACTATTAGTACAAAGCGGCAACAGAGACTCAGACATCAGGTGAATATCCGAATATGCTTCTCAGGGATGTGAGTGGAACCATTTAAAGTAGAGCGGCGTTGATAGGTTACAGGACTGATACAATTAAGCCATTCAGCACCCAGACTCAAACTATTTAACCGGCTTTGTGAAATATTGAGTAGAGATGCATTCGGGTAAAAGCAATACTGTGGAGATTACCGTAAAAACGACAGCGGGAAGTGGCGTCAGCTTGTGGATGTGGAGGAAAGCCATAACACGTGGCATTTGGCTCTCCTCGCCAGCCACAAAGAATATGCGCGAGGTAGTGAGCATAGCACCATTGACACCACCGAAAGTCGACAGTGCTACAAAGATCGACATGATCCACCATCCATGACTGTACAAACGCTGAGCAAACGTCTAAAACGGAAGAGGATTAGTGTCACCTATCGCCAACCTCTGCGTTCCCAGGTTACTCGGAGGAGTAGTGAGCAGGTCAACCGACTAGCTTGGCATTAAGGTGCATGTAAATGCACTGATAAAGTGCAAATAGGCCTTGCTTAAATAGGCGAACTAGCTGTAGAACGAGTAAAGAGGCCGCCTAGCGCTTCAAAGAGAACGAGTCAGCGATTGGTTTGGCACGTGCACCCCACCGGCACTGCAGAACAACTTGCCAACACGGCAGCAACAACATGCGCGTGCGCACGCAGATTATGAAGATGCACGTGACTATGGCCCACCTCCGAGCATGCCCGATTCCATTTTCCCCAACATCGCCGTGATGTGAAAAAAGTACTTAACTAACGATTTATGGACAGCATTTGGCGTTGGTACTAATTACGTCAGGAGCACATAGATGGAAAGTGACAGTGGATACTCCAAAATACTAAGTCCAATCACTTGTCCAGATTATGCTTTCTGATTGTTGAGAGCGATATGAATTAGGTCCGGAAAATTAGATAACACTAAAACTTGTTAATAGCTTCGCAAGAAAACGCACCACGGCAACGGCAGGTGTTATAAGAATTTCATGAACGTCAACGGTCGTAAAGTAGGCGACGTTGCAGAGAGTGTAGGCAGCCGTCACAACTAGGCAGGAGAAAACTATAGCGATTGGCAAATCGCGCTTTGGGTTCTTCATCTCCTCAATCATGCAGTTCAGGTAGTTCCAGCCAGCATAAGCAAAGAGACCTGAGTAGAAGCCAGTTGCTATACCACCCAAACTCCAGTCCGACCCCTCAAAGGCACTATCGAATGCCTCCACACGACCTTAAGATGAAAATCACGATTTCATTAAAGGCTACTTAGCAAAGGGAACACCGAATGAGAAAAAGTTATCACAAATTGCATACCAAATCCCATTTGAACAAAACCAGTGATGATTATCATGATAATAGCCGCGAGTTTTCCATAGGTAAAGACATCCTGAACTCGCGTCGAAAGTCGAGTGGAATAACAATTTATGTATGTAATTAAAACTAAAATAGGAAATAATTTTAGGACAAAAAACTGGCAAAGGCAGAAAAACTAGGACCATAAAAAACATACGGATGCACGCAGCACCAAGAAGTCTGACAGCCATATCTGGTTGCTGACAATCGGGGAAGATTGGCTGTAGAGTGTACTTGGCAAAGGTCATAGCAATGACAGCGATGGTTGCCGGCCTAACAACAATGACTTCAACCCACATTCGCAAGAAACCGAAGAAGGGACCAAAAGCTTCCAAAATGTAGGCGTAGTCAGCACCCGAACGGTGGATTAACGTGCCCAATTCTGCGTAGCAATATGCACCAAGAAGCGAGAAGAGACCGCAGGCAACCCACAGAATCAGGCTGGCACCTACACTTTTCACACTTGCGAGAATACCGGTTGGACTAACAAAGATTCCGGAGCCGATCATCGAGCCAATGATGACGTTGATGCCCTGCACTAACCCAATCGTCTTCTCCATCTGAACACGGCCATTTGGTTCTCCTCCCATCTTCACTGCTCGCAGCTTAACCAAATGATGCTTCTATAACAAGATGAAAATTCACAACAAAGACAGCAAGTAGCAGTCTCAAAACAAAACCAAAAAATTTTACTAAAAAGGACTAAATACATAGATGCGTCATGTATATGCTCCGAAGCCTCATCTGAAAGGTGCCATTCACAATCTTTGCCTTAGAAAAGGACTTAATCCAATCATGGAAACAACCCTCATCGTGAAGGAAAACATAAGAAGGGACAAAAGATACGTCATTTAACAAGAAGACTAAGCGCTTAGATATAAACGCGTTCACAGAACCCATACCCCAAACCTGAACCGGCAATGCGCAAAAGAGCTCAGAACGTCCGCCGACAAACACAGCGGAAACCCTAGGTTCTTGTTAATGCTGTGAAGCGAACAATTCAAACAAATGAAGACAAAAGCAAAAATCATCAGCTCAAATTTGATTCCTTTAAAACCTTTGTTAAATACAACACAAAAGCTAGAACTCTATTTAGTCAAGGCATTAAAGTTGAATACATGACAACCATATTATGAACTTGTTCAATCGATGCATCTGTTGTGATTTCATGCAAGCCGTTTCATTAACTACTATCAAAAATAAGAGTCATCATACAAAATCAGTGCAAGCATTTGACAAACCAGCTGTTTTTTGAGTGATGATGTAATACGTCAATTGTTTAACTGCCGGTTTTGGCAAGGGGCCACTTTGTGCCATGACCATTGTACCTCGACAGGTGGGCTGGCCTCCAGGCCATGCCAGTAGCCTTCAACACACTTGTACGCTAAGTATATATGTAAATTGAATGTGCATGAACATATATATGTATATAAACATATGTGCACTCTTGCGTCTTCAGGAAAGTCTGGAGGCACTACCTGGGTGGCAGCGTGTGGTAATGCGAAAGTAGTCAGTTCGCTGCAACTCATTAAAATATTGTTGAAAAAAATAACATCTCCTCTTCTAAAAGTGCTTCGCTGCACGTGAAATCAAATCCTCTTAAGGAAAATAACCGGTAAAATGATACCTACCCTTACTTGCAGTATCATGCACGTGAATGCTAATTTCAGATTCTGGATTGCTTTTAACAGCCAAAGCCTGTCCTGCCAACATATAGTGTGGCATAGCTAAGAGACCATATATCATAATTTATCGGAAGCAAACGACCCTACATAAACATTAAGAACAGCCGAGTTGGAAAAATTACACACAAGGGTAATATCTAATTTGAATAGAAGCAACTCTTTTTACAAAGCACCACAATAAATTGGTCATGCACACTAAAAGGCCCCCGTAAATCTTTCAAACTAGGATTAAATAATGAGGAATCCTAATGGTCTTTGACACATTTAGTGTAAAAAAGGGAGGAGCTGATGCAATTCATGAATAAGACTACCATCTCGCTAACAAGGTTTGATTCCCAGCACTAAGGTGACTAGGAGCTGAGAATGTTTTCATGCTTATTATATGAGAAGTTTAAGTTATTAGAAACACCTGAAGAGAAAAATATCCTTTGTGGGACTGTACCCGCCTTCAACACCCCTAGGATACGATGACTGACAGATTGTTGTATAAACTTTACAAAGGATTGGCAACTGCCGGAGCCTAAGGCTTCTAAATTACAAGGTAGAACACAGGAAAGCGATTATTAATGAAGCTTAACTATTGGGTGTAGACAGAACAGGTTGCCGCTAATGCTTCCCATTAGCGGCAGCCCGTAAACCATCTTTGTTAGTTATGTTTAGGTCCAAAAGCAGAGAATTTCCCAAAAAGACGCACAATATTCGTCGGTGCGATGTTGGAAAGGATGGTGCGGTGTAGCGCCCAAAGTCACTGGTGAAGGCGCTATAAGTCGTAGCACGGGGCTACACGCGTAATGTGTTGGCTGTTTGCTTAACTCTCGGTTCTGATAAAAGGCACACCTGGGACCACCGCCACTGTAACTCCGCCGATCTGGCTGGCGTCCGCACATAGCCATTGGCCCTAGTCTCTTCAGATGTCGAATGTACATACACATGTGTAGAACGGGGCTCATAGATCCCTTCTCCCCTCTTAGAACACTCAGGTTGTTTTGGCTTTGTTATGCTTAGTAGGATAAATAAGTGGCGAAGGCAAGTACAAGCTCAGGGACGTGTAGACACGGAACCCCCTCCGGGTTGCAGAACGCTGACTCAGTCACGAGGATTGATTCTTCTCCGCCTCCCCTCTGAATGAAACACTAAAACAACACAGATATTACATATGTACAAGCTAAGGATTAAACACCAAATATATTATGCTGCCTACTTACCATACAAGGCGATGTGCTCAAACAACTAAGGTCAATTGAAGCGAGTGTGCGCTGCTATTATTTCCAAAGGTGAAATTCTGATTGGTTTTAAAAATATTTCGTCAAAGATACATGTTGCCTTGGGCCCTTTATTATTATTATTTTATTGGTAAGCCGGCAGTCCTTGAAGATTGATGTCATTTTTGCATATAAACTGCTTAGTGTCCATTGGACGTTTTCAAGGACTTTACGTGATGGCGGCAAGGCGCGTTTTGGAGGTAACTTCGGCAACCTTTGGGTGCTTACCATTGTAGTCAGCCGACTTTTTCTCAAAGGACAGTATTTTTGGGTTCCAAACTCTCTCTTGGTTCAAGTTAGTTCATATTTACTAAACACTTTAGACCGCTTGCGCATATTACCCATGTCGTCGTGTGCTGTAACTTGGTATTTGCGGCCACAACTTCAAACAAACTCGTAATAGCTAGAGTCTTGGATCGTAGTTATGTCACAGGTGAGGAATTGGATTTACATCGCCCTACCCTGCATTCACAAAGTATTCTTGTACTCGAACATGTATTCCGTATCTATTGTGTTTTGTATACTTAATGCTGTATACGCAGTGTTTACGAGATGTTACGCCTCATCATGTTTTGCGTATTCATATTTTCAAACAAGTATATCTGCGTCTTTTTGAGTACTGTCACCGATTCGTTCGTTGTACGCATAGAAATTGAAATTACGTCGCACTCCGATGATCGCGTGCACAATCTCTTCGTGGATCCACATGGATGTCATATTATTATCAGCATGCAATCGGGAGTGAATTTATATACTACAAGGAAGTGCAAGAAACTTAAGCAGGTTCAGAAAGCTAAGGTAATGTCATGAAATTTGCCTTCGACATGATAATCAGGATCTTTTGATTGATTCAGTCGCCTGGAATCAGTTTAACGAGAGTGATACAACCACACAAGAAATCCTTATTGGTACAAACGAGGGCATTATTTTTGAAGCGATGCTATCAAGTTCCGAGGAATTCTTGGGTTCTTTAAGCTGTACAGTGCTTTGGAAAGAAGTATGCATGAAGTTTTTACCGGCTGCGTAAAGTTCGTCGAATGCTTTTAGTATTTGTTCATGCATTGTTTACTGCGCATTCCATCTTAGTGTAAGTGACTTGTGATGGAATTTTACAACCGATAGTTAGCCTATCTCTTTCATTCGTACTGTATAGTTACCGAGCTTATTTGTTAAACCTGCAAACTTTTTTGGCGTTCAGCTTATACGACTGGACCAGAGTATTACTGGTTTAGTTGTCATTCGCTATCCACCAGGATCTGCGCTTGTACCCGCAGGAGAACTGCAGCTCTGCGCTGTGCTTGCGTCTACACCTGGTCGGCTTTATCAGTTTTTCGGTCGCATGCAATCATCTGATCTCGGTTCCGCCTGCCGCTACATAAGCGCCACAGCTCTACGTGAAGGATACATACCTGGTTTCTATGCACCTGTGTTTGCACCTTATTCGCAAAACCTATCAGGTAAAAAAAGGATGAGTGTTAAGGGGTCGCGTGTTTTGTTCATCTCAAAAGTCGGTGTACTTTCGGACATTCCAAATCATGTGTGCTCCTTCATGTGTAATTCCAGGTGCCAAGTTTATCGAATTTCCAGTCTCATACGGATACAGTGATCTTAAAGTGTTTCACAAGAAGGGCGAAGAAGTTCCAAGCCAATTTGCCTGGATGACAGGTAACATCGGTGATTTGGATCATTTATTTCGGAGAAAAACTTAGGTGTTTATGTATTATTTTATTACAGCATCAGGCATATACTTCTGCCAATTGGATCCAACTCGCCTGATCGACTCAGAGGTGATATCCAGTGCTAGTGATCTGATGACGCCTCTGCGAATTTCTCTAGCAAGCCATGCCAAATTGATTCCCTATCCCACGATGGCGGGGGAGTTAGCCAGTCTGCCCCTATGCATATCTCTCATGGAGTTCCATGTTGTCATCGCCTATGCGGATCGTGTCAAAGCCGTTAATCTGCTCGACGATCAACCCGTTTTCTCACAAAGTATTCGTGACGTCCTCGGTGGCACGCAGTTGAGTGGCGTATGCAGAGACCCAGAAGAGGACCGTCTTTGGCTTTACAGCAGTACGGCTCTCTGCCAGCTTACTGTAGATCGCGAAGATTGGCGTATTTGGAGAATACACCTGGACCGGCAAGAATTCAAGGAGGCTCGAAAGTATTGCAAGGTTAGGGGATATGTCACTTATGCGCATGCATATATATGTGTGTGAATTTACATTGTTAATTTATCTATAGACATCAGAACAATTGGACGTAATTGTTTCCCAGGAGGCGGAGTTCTATTTCGCACATGGCGAGTAAGATCATTTACTCCCTATTACGGATATGTTTGGTCATAAGTACGGCGTTCGTATTATACGTTCAAGCCACTTTTAGCTGTTTTAGTGGTTACTTCGTTATGTGAGACGCTATAAGTACGTTTATTTTTTCCTTTGTTTTGCTCACAATAGTCATAGGCCTGTTTTTTGGCTGCTTCAGCGTTCATAACGATTTCTGAAATGTAACGTTTCTGTTTGTTTAATATTTCCTCTCGCAGTGACCTGGAAGACTGCCTAACTGTTTTTATCTCCAACTGCCTTAGATATGTAAAATCGGCGGAGTTATTTGCTGAAACTTCGACGCCGTTTGAGGAGATAGCTCTTCGTTTCAGTCAGATTACAGCTCTATCTGCTGCAAATTATGGGGACACTGAGGGTGGAAACGTGGCGGCCGCTATCGCCTTAACCGAAGATTATGAGGTGATCGATGAACAGGAGGGGAGGAGTGATGGAGAGGAAGTGGAAGATAGCAGGATCCCCACCAATACTGCCTCTTCATTCGGCATGACTTTTCGGCTCCTCACGTCCTGCACACCCCTGAAGGTCTTTCTTCGAACGAAACTGAAACTTCTTGAAGGCGAGACCAATGACAGACTGATGACCGTCATAGCCCTCTGGCTAATCGAACTGCTACTGGGAGAAATCGGCCTCTTGGAGGATAAATGCGCTAAACCTGATGCACCTAGTGTGAGATATGAGGAGTTGGCCAGCGTTCGAAATGAGTTTCGTCTTCTCGTCACATCGTCCAAAGTTTCGGTAGGATAAATCTTTGTTTTATTAAAGTGGTGTGAAGGCCTCGAGTCGCAATCACTTGGCTAATGAAGCATATGCTTTATTGCATTTTACATTATTTCCACGTCAATTTATTGGTACTTAGGGTACAACGCAATTGTCGCAGAAACTTTTTTTGATTTCTTAATAGCTCTACTACTTGTGGTTCTTTGAAATGGACAGTCTGGTGTAACACCTCTGCCATTTTTCAAACCTTTAATAGTCATTCTTAGTACATTTGGAATTACACAACAGACTGCTGTATTTATTGCTGTCTGTTTGTTGGTAATGTGTTATTAGGTGCCTAAAATACAACAAATAAGTCCTGAAGTGATCAAAAATGCCCACAACGATTTTGCAAAGAAAGTGGCTTATATGGATGCTCACTTTTTCCCTAGAAGATCCTGTCGAAGTGCAAGGATGTAATCTATAGTCTACTATCAAGTCATGGGAATTCTGATGACTTTGTGTTTTTCGCTAAAACGAACGGGGGTAAGTTTAGTGACAATAAATGCTCTATGGTAGTGCATTTCAAGAGTTCCTCATTAAGGCACATTTTATTATCTGTAAATACGGTTTAATCCAACCGGTTCTTTCCGTTTATCATGCCAATCTATTCATGATTTTCCGATGCAACCAATAAGATGTGTTTCATTTTTCTGCAAATGTTTTTGCCCATTTTATTAATTTTTCAGTGAAGTCGTAAAAAAATAAGCCCAGTAGATGGAATTCTTGGATAGCGGTCACGAGTACACACGCACTTAAAACTTATGCTGTAATACGAATTCTAAGAAGAATGTTTGCCTTGTTTGCAGATTACGATCGTCTGATCGACCATTACATGTCACGAGGCGCCTATGCGGAGGCGCTTTTCGTTTTCACCACCCACCCTTCTTGTGCAGCGAAGCTGTATCAATACAGCGCCCAGTTGGCTCCCTGTGAGCCGAAAATGCTTGTCGATGCCTGGATTTCCGCTGGACGGCGTTTGTGTCCTTGTAGGCAAGTCTACCATTTCTTGGGACACTTCGTCCCTTGAAATTATTGCTTTAAGAGAAGAGGAAGTTGTGCATCCAGTTATAAGCATCAATATGAAGATAGTATTTGCGTTAACGCCTGTTTGGAACAGTTTATTAGACCTGTTAATAAATGAGGCTTCTTGTCTAGTTGGCGCATGTGAATAATATATACTGTTATTCAGCAAAGCTGTGATTGCCTTGAAATGACTTCTTCATTTCATAGGTTTTGTGCCCTTTAATTGTACTTACTACGCTGGGATTAGTGTTGCGTGCTTTTGCTGTAGACTTCTCTCTAGCCTATTGCTGCTTCTGCCCGGTGAGGCTATTCGTTACTTGGAGTTTGCGCTTGATCAATTGCAATGTCAAGAGCAGGCAATACATCACCAGCTCATTCACCTATACGCCAGCCTTCCTGACTCCACTGCAGACACGCGTCTTCTGACCTACCTGAAGAAGTACACCCCATCCAATCTTTGCGGGGTCTTTGTGGAGGTACTTGGTGGTCTTGGTACAACGGACAATATGTCCAAAACACTTTCTTCAGCATATACTACTCTAGAGCCCGGTTAGTTGGTGCGGTATCACCTCATCAAACACCTGACAGTACCCGAACTTTTGCATCATAGTTTCTTTGGTAACAGGTACAATATGTTCAGTTCTTTTCTATTTCCAAAATATTTCTTTATGTTCAGGATATTTTTGAAATATGAAGGCAAAATTGCGGTTATCTTTGCGTAGAACATATCCTGAGAGGCATCAGAAATGGACATATGGATGCTTTTCGGTTGACAACTTCAAGATTGTTAGTTCTCTTTCAACCTGTATCGTTTTTATCCTATACCCTTCAGGTCTGCCATATGATCCTGGTTTCGCAATTCGAACTTCCATGGAGAAAGGCTGTTTAAGATCAACTGTGTTTTTGTTGCAGTCGTTGGGACTTTTTGGTCAGGCAATCGAAGAGGCTCTTTCAAAGGTATATTTTCTGTTGCAGGATTTTCTATAATTCAGAATGACATCGCTTTGGCTAAGGAAATAGTTAAGTCAAATATTCTCGGAATCGATGCGCAACGCGCTCTCTGGCTGCGCATAGGTAGGTCACATTCAGTTTAATTCAGTTATGACTTCATTTATATATGATGTACTTAGTTGATGTGCTTTTTAACAGCTCGTCATGTTGTTACCGATCAAAGTAGCCCACAGGAGGCGACGGCTCTGCTTCAGGAGTCTTCTCTCCTTCGTTTGGAAGACGTATTTCCACTCTTCCCTGATTTTGTCACTATCGATGAGTTTCGGGTACGTTATTTCGCGTGCACATATTGCTAGCGCTCACTGGGTGTTTCGTTTTGAGATTATCAACTTCGCTGAACCGTCTAACTGTATTTCAATTTTGTGGTTTATTCCATTTTTAAACATTAGCGAACTAACTAATCAATCTCCCCACCGATTTGAAGTGGCGGATAATATATTTTTTTTCAGCTTCGTTCGTGATCTAGAATGGAGGTGTATGTTTTGCAGGAGGTAATATGCGAATCGCTCGATGCCTACAATTCTCAAATTGAGCAGCTGAAGGTGGAGATGCGGTCGACTGTGGAGAGTACCAATGAGATTCGCACCCAACTCCATGAATATAAGTCTCAGTGAGTTCTACTCATTCAAAGTGGACGTGATAACTATCGCGAATTAAATTGTTTGTAGCTACGAAATCATTCCAGAGAATGCTCGTTGTTCTCACTGCCTACACTCAATCTCTCTACGCACATTTTATGTGTTTCCTTGTGGTCATTTCTTCCACACAGACTGTCTCTTGAACTTGGTGAGTAATTTGAAAAACGTGCACGCAAGTTGCATCGGGTAGTAATTTCTTAATCACCTCGTTGTCTGTGCTCCCCCGTAGGTCCGGCCACTCCTGACTCCCGGTGATGCCGGGAGGCTGGCTGAACTCTGTACGAAAGCAGAAACTGACGCCGCGGTTATTCAGTCATTTCGGGTAGGAAGTCGTTGCCTTTTGAGTCTTTCATGGCATCCCGCCTCTGTAAATTACTAGTCCGTGTAATTTTTCTTTATAGTCTCAGTTTGATGAACTGGTCGCCGCTGATTGCGCTCTTTGTGGAAAGGTTGCTATCGATAGTGTTAGTCGTCTCTACTTTTCCGATGCCAAGGAATATGAAAGCGAACAGAAAATCTGGCTTACATCTTGAAAATGGACTGTCATTATCGATGAGAGTGATTCAATAAACTGATTGCTTCCCGATAAGGTCGTGGTGGTTCGGCACTTTAGTTGCGTAGATGGCCTTTGTGGGTTGCGCTCCCATTCTGTAGAGTGGCTCTTTAACCATCCAGTGTCTGCTTTGGAATCGGAATTTCGTCACTTTTGGTGCATTTCGGTGGAACTCGCGAGGTAGCGTGACTGATGTCTGCCCTATTCAGTCTTGGGTCCCTATGTTGGTTATTGTGAGTAGTGGGATATGCGATTTTTTAATTATGGGAGTTTCTAGCGCAGTGGAGTACTCCAGTTAAGCTGATCATCCGACGCAGGCGTAGTCCTTTGGGGGCTGAGAGAGTTTAAGGTCGGGATCCACTGAAACTGCGTCATTTAATATGCTGAAATTTTGGCGATATAGAACCTTTTTTTAAATGGGACAGTCTTTGGTCCTTAAAATAAAGTGTTTTATTCTATATCTCAGATGTAATTAAAAGAGTTCACTGCGTTTTTACATATAATGGTCTTTTACGGTGCTAAGTTTTGTAAAAGCTGAGGCTTAAAGCAGCTGCTTTGATGTCATATTAACTATAGTCCTCATTTATCTTCGTTTAAAAAGTTAGTAATTTGTCTTGAATGTCCACTTAACCCGTATGTTCAATAAGACATACACCTTGGTGTGTTCTTACCATGGGCATTCAGCATCAAGATGGTGTTGGATCATGTGATTGTGGTCCAAAAAGAATAATTGCTTCCACCCTAGGAGGAATTCTTACGTCTTTAGTTATGACTCCACTGGACGTTGTCAAAATACGCATGCAGGTAACACTACCAACCAGTGACACTTTTTAGTCTGCTTCAAAACATGGCAATTGTTTTCTGTACTGTAATGGGCTGATGGATCATCTTTGTGCCTGTGAAAATGGGGTTAGCCTGGCAGGGACTCGATCAAAGCCTTGGTTTAGGCCGAGGAGAAATTTCAAATCCTTTTGGGTGCGTACCCAACCCTGTTACCATCCGGAAGGCATTGCATGTTGCATTTTCCACTCTGGTTTGAGGCATCTTCGTATTCCCCAAACTGTAAATAGCTTCACTTATAGAATGTCCTCCGCTGTAAGGCTTGTTCCGTTTGCTCTTCGCTGGTGAATGTTTTCTGTGTGTGAATAGCCTCCTTCTCTTTTAGGAAGCCCTTTCTACCATCGTCAAAACAGAGGGTATGCTGTCTCTTTGGAGTGGTTTGTCACCAACGCTGTAGGTTATGAAGCTTAAATAGGTGAGCTTTTAGGATGATGGCTCTTCCGCAGACAGTTATGTATTATTCACTCAATGATTGGCTTAAGCACCGGATTAGCCTATACTACATTTCAAGTGAATGTCAAGTTTATCAGACCACCCAATTTATGAATATTATACCTCCTATTGTTGGTGTTATATCGCGGGTTTTTTCTGTGTTCACGATTTCGCCATTGGAACTTATGCGTACAAAGCTGCAGTCAAAACCGATGACTGTACGATCATTTTATGAAACTGCCAGGTCTACTGTAATTCAGGTACTTCGATCTTATTCTATCATATACTTTCATTTCCAAAGTAATCTGATTTTGTGCACCGTTAGCATATAAGTGTAAATTTGTGAGTTTTATGTACGTTGACGGAATATTGCTCATACTGGGTTTCTTGGTGCTGCGATTTCTTGATAGTTTAATTTTTCAGCGTTTAAGTAACATTTTATAGGGTGGCATCCGAAGCTTATGGATTGGCGTAGGTCCAACACTTCTTCGTGATGTGCCTTTCTCGGCAATATTTTGGTATACTTACGACTATAACAAAAACAAATACCGCCAAACTCGCTTGCAGGTCTCATCAAATGAAGAAGCTTCAGCAACTCTAGAGTTCCCAGTGGTCTTTTTCTACGGAGCCACTGCTGGCTTTGTAAGATGCGCCTGTTGTGATGCTTCCGTTTTATGCATGTAAAATCGTTGTATTCCTCTCGAGTTGTCGGGAGACAGTATTGTTAGTTCTGAATTGAGTGTCACACTTGCTGCTTCTCATACTCATGCGTAAAAAGTGCTTTGAAGCTGAGGATTCCTTCAGCAGCGGAACTTTAGCGCAGACATATATAGTGTCATTTCCAGTTTAGCTAGGACCCAATTCCTGGCCCCTTTAATTGTTTTCCTCCTGATCTAGGCTTCATGTGGCTAGTTATTGTGGATGCAACTCAATACGGATCACTCCGCACATTGTTTTTCGTTCATTTTAGGCTGCTGGGGTGATTACACATCCGTTTGATGTAATTAAAACTCACCGTCAGTTAGAGCTGGGTGCAGCTCTTTTTGGTCGTGAGTTATTTCATGTGATTTACTGTCACAATGCAGGGGCTCTACTATTTCGTTTCGTTATATGGTATTTTTTGGTTATAAGTTCTATGCTGCCTACCCTGTTTTCACTTGATGCAAAGTGATTGTGACAGCTAGGGGTTTTGTTTGAAGAAGTTTTTTTAAACTTTTGGCTGAGTGAATATTTGGAGCATCGCCGCGGTCGGAGTAATTCCTGCTCCGGATGTAATAATTACATAAAACGCCTCATTTGTGAATTGTGAGTGGTAAATAACCCGTGGTGTAGCTGATAAAGCTTATGACTATCTCAGGATCAACCACCTATTAGGCTTGAGGTGACCCATATTCCGTAGTTTGGTCTCAAACGCTATCAAGGTCCAGAGCTTATAAACTTCTTTCTTACCGCCTACTGTTTATTTTTGAAGAAAAGGCATATTCGAAATCGACGTGGAAAGCCCTCCAGCAGCTTTACAAACAGAAGGGTGTTGAGGCTCTTTTTAGTGGTAAGTTGGTTTTCACGTATAATACTAATTCATTTACGTGGACGCGATCACGTTACGTCTACTTAAAATGATATTATAGTAGATCCCCATGGAGCAGTTATTAGCTTCTAAAAATTGCGAAATTGACCCATTCCTGTTTTCCCATAAGGTGAGGCATTCCGCTGTCTCCATCTTGTAGTTGTTCCTTTTTGATCTTGCTTCGTTTATTATTTCTGAGTGCGATTCGTTTTAAGTCTTCAGTTATTCATATTCTTCGTTTACCTCCTCAGGTTTTACACCGAGACTTTTGAAAACAACTACTGCATCAGCATTGATGGTCTCCGTATTTGAGGTGGTGAAACAGAGTCTACCGAAGTAGCACATTTGTGCATTTTTAGCCGTCCTGCCATCGTCTTCCCTCATCTCCATTTCAAGGTTTGAGGCTTGTACATATTTTTATGATGTCAAACAGAAACTCGAACTACTTTTCTGGTTCTTATTGCATAACTAGTTGGCAATGCATTTTCACGACCCTGGAGGTCGTGTCCTGGGGCGAACCCCCGCGCATCAGTTAAGTCGGGAACGCTGCCTAATGCATTTTATCCTACGATTCATTGCGTGAAAGTCGTGGTGGGTCTATTGATTTCGGCTATGGGGTTTTACGAGATGAGATCGGGGGAATTGTGAATTTTCTAAACCCCTGGAGGGTCTTAGTGGTTTTGACGGTCGGTACTCTGCTCAGTTGCTTCAGCCGCGTAATGAACACAAAGCAGTGAGGCAATTTCAAGGGACTTGTGTAGTTTGGACGGGTGTATCGCATTTGCTCTTTCGCTGGGCCCATCACTGGTCTTTTTTCCTTCCTCCATTCGGGGAATCTTGGCAGCTAGTAGTATTGGTCATTTTGGAGACTAATAGGCAGAAGACACCAGGTTGCTTTTGCACACTGTGATAATTCCATCAATGATAATCCAAACCATTTCAAATTATTTGCAATCCGGCTAGCATGGAAAGCTCAAATACTTGCTTGAGCTTCAGCAAAATCAAGTTCCACGGCTGTGCGCAAGCGTACCGTTTAAGCGCGAGTTTTCGAAAGCCGAAAGAATGCAATGCCGCAGATGTAAGAGTGCGAAAAGGGGAATCTGTCCCCCAAACCTGTTTCATTGAATAATCCATCTCTTATATTACTTGCATGAAAGCATGACGACCCAAATAAGTTTTGTACTAAAGGGGTCCAAATCTACTTTTATTTTCAAGATTGTAACTTTCGACATTTCGCTTATAGGTATATTTCAATGAAATTATAAGTTGATGTACCAAATAAATGCTTGCGGATTTGACTTAAAAAATAAGTATACGACATCAAAGGCAGTGTGAGCCCAAAATTATAGTGATTATTTCTGTCTACAGAAAAGGTTGCTCTTATGCCAACTTAAATTTAATTGGATCGAGTTAAAGGTCAGTCGTAAAATTAACGTAGGTGTCGCCATTCCTGTTTCCTTTCTCTAAGGTTCTGATTTGTACATTTTCCCCCTTTCCTCTAAATTTGTACGTAACACAATTTAACGCTTATGTTTGCAGTAGCTGTTCATGCTGGCGCGGGTTTCCACTCTCCTTCGAAAGAACGCTCATACAAGGATGTGTGTATGAATGCTTGTGCTGCAGCTGCACGCATTCTTAATGATCCATCGGTCGAGTTCGCTGCCCTCAATGCTGCTACTGCCGCAATTTCAGTTTTAGAGGATAGTCCCCTTACAAATGCTGGGTTTGGGAGTTGCTTAAACTTTGACGGACATGTCGAATGCGATGCTGGACTTATGTGCGGCAAAAGCCTTTTGTTTACATCGGTTGGAAGTGTCTCTTGTGTAAAGAATCCAATACAAATCCCAAAACACTTAATTCTACAGCATCTTACGGGACCTGTATCTCCTATCGGTCGTGTTAAGCCCTTGAGTCTTTGTGGGGATGGAGCAAGGCGCTGGGCTTCAGAAGTTGCTGGTATTCAGATTCTTCCAGACCATTGCCTCATATCACATGCGGCAAAAAATAGGTGGCGGAGGTACCGTGGACTTGTAGATGAGCGTGATCGTAGTGTTGCATCTTCTATTGATGAAATATCGCACTTCAAGAAACCTAGACATGGCGACAAACTAGATACTGTTGGTGCAGTTTGTCTAGACACTTCCGGTAATATATGTGCGGCTTCCTCGAGTGGTGGAATTCCTTTAAAGCTGAAGGGTCGTCTCGGACAAGCCTGTGTTTATGGTTGTGGTTCCTGGGCAGAGGTCACTCCTGCTGTTTCAGTTGGCTGTGTCACATCTGGAACCGGTGAACAACTCATAAAAACTCAACTCGCGCAACGAGTGGCTTCAAAGATTCTTAAACGAACCGATGGTTCTCTCCCAAATATCGTAAATGCGTCTTTTCAGGAGGACTTCCTTGATTCACGATTCTTATCTAATGAAACTACCAGCAAACTTGGCGGTATCGTGGGTATAGGCAATACTGGCGACGCACGAGACCCCTTATCGTCTTCGGTTGTCGAATTCTTTTTCAAGCATTCTACGGAGTCTTTGGCCTACGGCTTTTATATCAGTAATCAAATGACAAAGCCATTAGTTGCTGTATCACGAAAATCACGTACTCTCCCAACAGGATCAGACTACTATGCTTTCACTTGCAAATAAATACATGAATGAACCTCTTACTCGATTTGTTTTCCATTTTGTATCCAATCCCATGTATGCCTACACAATTTTTTCTAGATGCCGAAGAGATCGGTATCTGAGGAACACGTTGACCCCTCCGAATCTGATGGTACCGTTTCCTCCACTGACAAATCCAGGAAATCGTATTCTTCGAGGGTATGTTTTTCATTGTCTTTTTGTTTGTGCTTGTTTACATCAAGACGAATCCTACGGCAACTTTTTCACGCTTAATGCGATGTCTGCTCATGTAACTCCATAATCTACCATGTTTTGACAGGGGTCAATCTACCACACCATATACAATCGTCTGAAGAAGTTGAACAAAGATGATGGCACCCTCTTAGTTTACGCTCTTCGGCTTCCCAATAAACGGTGCTAAAATAGTTTGCATACCTTCAAATAATTTTATTCGTATGCCCTGAGCAATTTTTTTATTGCAGAAGTCATCCAGAATACTATGACACGATAACAAACCCTATTGATCCGGATAAAATCTTGACAAAAGTGAAGGGCGGGAAGTATGAAACGATTGAAGAAATGGCTGAGGATGTTAAGCTACTTGTGGCCAACACGCATTTATTTTTTGGCGCTGCAAGTCAAGAAGGCCATGATGCCTCCGCCTTCGAAGATGCCTTTAATAAGGAAGCACAAGGAGTACAAAATCCGAGCTCTAAGGCTCCTTCTATTGCTTCCACCAGCAGTGGTGGTGAGTTATATGCTTTCTCGATCATTTTTTGGTATAACTGATAATGCAGCTGAGATCGTCTCTTTTAGTTACCATCAGGTCAGTTCGTCGAGGTATGAAGCGGGAAAGGACTGACGATGAAGAGGTTTGTAGTTTTTTTTGAATTAGAAGACAATCACATTGGGTAAAATACTTACCCGTTTGTTCCTGAAGACTGATGTTGATGCGGCTTCCGTTGCTACGTCGGAAATTTCGGAAGCGAGTGCTGCGGCAAGTCATCGAACGGCTGTGAGCGGACGGGCACTGGAGACGTTTTTTGCTTCGATAGTCTCCTATAGTTTGGAAGGAGGTAGACGCATTGCTCAAACGTTTGCTACTCTCCCACCAAAGCAGGTTTGACAACATGAATGAATACAGTTAATTTACCCTCCATCATCCCTTAACACTCGAAATTTTCTTTAAGGTATATCCCCAATACTACGAAGTCATCACAAACCCTATTGACCTCCGAATGATTGCTCAGCGTATTCTTAATGGCACTTATCACACATTCGGTGAGGTAGAACGTGACTTCGTGCAAATGGGAAGGAATGCTAAGCATTTCAACGAACCTAGGTCACAAATATACCAGGTGAGGTTTAGTGTAGTGCTGGAAGTTTTGTTTTCACCTAGTCAATGGTAATTTAAACTCACCTGCCGTTCTAGGATGCCGTTACCCTTTTGCGGATCATCAAGGAGAAGAAGATTGTAATCAAGAAGCGTTTTAAAGCTGATCCCGATGAAGAGTCAATTGAGTAAGTTGGGAATCGGGAATATTTAAGGTTTCTTTTTAAAGTGTCTGTGCACAAATGGAGGGCAGGTTTATTTTCCGTTGTTTCGACATTATGAAGTACCTACTATTCGATACCCTCAGGAGTAACGCTCATGAGATCACGGAGGACTATGCTAATCTTCCCGACGCGGTAACTATGACTTCACCTGTGTCTAAAGTGGAAGACGATGATGAAGTCGAGGACTATGAAGCGGATGAGGATGGTGAAGAGGGCTCCACTGCGGCTGTCTCAACACCGACCGGATTTGTCGTTGTGAAGCGTCGCCGTGGTCGCCCTCGCAAACACCCACTGGATTCTGCATCAGCGACTCCTGCCTCTCCCACTCCCTCTGAGGGTTCGGCTGATCTACGCTCCCCTTCCTCTACTACTACCACAACGATGACTACGCCAGTTGCTGGTGGAAGCGGTTCAAGGGTCGGTGGCGTTGTTTCTGGTGGGAGCAGCAGTGGCGGCGGAAATTCCGCCATGGTTGACGTATCTTCCTTAATGCTCGATGAGTCGGTCGCTCCACCGGGCTCCCCACCTCATATGGCACCCTTCGTCGATCCTTCGGTTTCTAGTGAGGAGCAGCTTATCCCTACAATGCTTTCAACGGCGGCTGTAGGCTCGCTTCGATGGTGGGGTGAACACGTTCTTGAGGCCATCTGCACAGCGACTAATTCGATGGGTACTTTACTCGCTCTGCCATTTATGCGCTTACCCTCCAGAAAGTGAGCCTAAAAGTCCTTGTCAGCTTAACTGTTTATCTGTATCATTTTGGAATATACATGATTTTTTTAATTTTTCTTGTCAGAATGTATCCTGATTATTTTCGTCGCATCTCCAACCCAATATGCTTGGCCAAGATTCGCCGTAAAATCAAGCGAAATGAATACCATAGTCTAGCTGATGTTCGAGGTGATATTGACCGCGTCTTTGTGAATGCTCAGGCTTACAATATGGAGGGTAGTGACATTTACAACGTTGCTCTTTATCTGCGACAACTTACCAAGAGCAAATTCGTTGAGCTGAGTCAAATTGCCGCTAAGGTATGACCCATTTTCCACTAGCGAATCCCCTCTACTGCACAGGGGTAATCTCAATGGTGGCTCTATCCACTGACATTGGATTGCTTTAGGAATTTATTCCGGAAATGTGTGAGGTCCTTTGACACCACTACAGGTTTTATCAGACAGTTGGTGTTTTGACCTGGTTTCGTTTGTGCCATTGATATTATTACCTCTGTTAATGTTTGTGGCAACACAGCAATTGCCTCGAACGTACAAAATTAGCCAAGATGATGGTATTTTGGTAGCTTGTATACATTATTAGTGTGGGTTTTGTATTTCGACTTAAAGGCGGAGAATGCTGGCCTTGTATCGCCTAGTGTGAAAAGACGTCAAAGCAGACCGCCTGGTGAATCGGAAGAGGTAACTCCAACGAAGCGGCGACATCCAATGACCGCTGAAGAGGCACGAAACAAACGCCTCATTAACCTCTATAATGCCGTTTACAACCACGTCGATGTAGGTCATCCTGGGTTAAGTATTTATGAGCTGCTAATTATATTCTTATTAGGATGATGGTCACCGTCCCCGTGATACTTTCATGATCCTCCCTTCAAAGGAGGATTATCCCGATTATTATGAAGTCATCCAAGAACCGATCGATTTAACCATGATCAAAGAGCGTATGGACTCAAATAAGGTCAGTTCCATTACCTCCAACTTTCTCTTAAAATTGTTATTCGTTTCGTAAAGTTCTCTATCTTCAGTATCCGACTCACCAAGCAATGGTCGCAGATTTGCGTCTCATGTTTAATAACGCCCGTCGGTATAACGAGGAGGATTCTCAAGTTTATCATGATGCCGATACGTTAGATAGGGTTGTGAAAAAGAGGCTGAAGAGTCTCGGTCCCTATGCAAGCTGCCCCCAAGGAATGCCTCGAAGTCCTGGCATTCGTTCACCTCAAGATCCCACATCCTGTGGGGGTCCGGCGACAATCTCTCAGCACTCCGGTCCTGCGATTTCACCTCTTCAGCGTTTGATGTACGAAATCTTCCAGGCTGTGCGGGAATATCGTGATCCCATGGGGCGTCAACTCTCCACACCCTTCCTTCGCCTCCCTAGCAAGGCCGAGCTTCCCACTTACTATGAATTTATCAAACGACCCATCGAAATGCAAGAGATTGCAAAGTTCCTCATCCAGGGTGGCTATACCGAGTTTGAGGAATTTATGTCGGATATTTTTCTCATGTTTGACAATGCTTGTGCTTTCAATGAGCCGGATTCTCAGATCTACAGGGACACACTAGTGCTTCATCAAGTTGCATTAGCAAAACGTAACATGCTTCTATCAGCAGCTTTCTCTTCCGGAACTGTGATACCCGGGATGTCGCCCTCTAATGCACCGGATATTTTACCAGGCATTCGACGACTTCTCACTAGTCTGCATAATGCCATGCTAACCGCCTGCGATACTGATGGCCGGGGTCTGGTAGATTCGCTTATTGCTGGTGATGGAACAGAAGCTTCAGTGACCTCAGCCACCGCGGCAAGATTGGCGGCGCTCCATCGGAGCGTCGCTGCTGGCGCCTATAAGCGTTTAGATCGTCTGCAAGCCGACTGGCTTGAGGTCCTTCGTCGGGCTCGTGTCGGAGAAGAGGAGGAGCGCATGGCAACGCTTTCTGAAATAGATGCGAAAAGTAATCTACCGACTCCGCAGCAACGTCAAGATGCTGCGGAGCTCGCGAGGCGTTGGATTCGTCTGCGTGACTCCATGTGCAGACGTGCTCTATCGGGTGGCAATCCAAATGCACAATTGACGGTCGCTGGGGAGTCGAGTGGTAGCGAGTCGGGGAGCAGCGGAACTCCTGGCATATCGCTCCCCACAGGGTGGCACATAGTTAGTACTGCTATGGGCTACACTGAAGCTGTACTGGAACGTGATCTCAAGGATGAGGTTTCTCAACATGAACCAATGGCTTTCTCTGACGATGGAGAAGAAAAGTTGCCCCCGCTTGAGGAAGGAGAAAATGAATTGCAGGTAGAGATGGCGGAGGTATAATCATGTGTTGCATGTTATTTGTCTCTCAATGTTATTTCTATCTGTTTTTTCCTTCAGTCAGTTGAATCCAAAGGCCAAATATTCCGTGTAGGTGATTATGCTTACATTGAACCATTGCTTCAAGACGTAACACAATGCCACATCGGTCGTATCACGCGAATCTCTGAGAATATTGTTAAGCCGAAGGAGGGGACGGAGGGGAATAATAAATCAGCTGAAGCAACTGAGGTGAAGGTACGATTTGCTGTGTACATGCGCCCGTCGGAAGCGAAACCGTCTCGCCGCAGGCGGCTACTGGCCGCCGAGGTGTTCCGGACTGCCGCTGGTGGGGTTGTACCGCCCAGCAAACTCTCCGGTCACTGTCTCGTCATGCACATACCCCACTTCATTCGTAGTCGTCCTAAGGTCAGGCACCCTTCTTAACAAGTTATTTTAGTCCTTCGCACATCAAAAGTGTCTTATTCCTCTCATTCCCACTTTCAGAATGTTGAGGAACGTGACGTGTATGTGTGCGAGTCGCAATACTCCATCACTAGCAATTTATTTGCTAAAATACGAGTAGGTCATCGAGTCCACTCCGTAAAGTTATTTCTATACTCATTTTTTATCATTTACTTTAAATAAATTTGCTTAACTGGAATATGTCTTTTTGAATTGGAAGAAAAACATTGTAATTTGGACCAAAAACTATCCCCTTGCCCTTAATTCCCAAAAATTCATTGTAATGCAAGAAATCTATCTTAATTTGGCGATTTCACATCTACTTAAATGCGCATTTTAGCGGTGGGGAGCACCGACCCCGAGTGGTATTGAGCTTGAAGACCGTCAATTGCCATTCGTGCCCACTCGCCTGCCTCCTAGTGAACCGTTGGAAAGTGCTCTTGAGCAAGTCAACACAAACTTCTTCTCATGCATGGCTTTTCCTCTACCAAGGCCCCCTCAGGTAAGTCTTAACTATTTGCCCATTAATGAAGAGTTTGCCTGTCCTTAATCGAGCCTCGGTGCCCTTTTAGGTTGTTTAGTTATTGATATTTAAACCTAGATGTTGGAGACGGTATATGGTCGAATCCAAAAAGTTGATAAACCACGCACCGGCAATTGATCCTTTATTATCGTTCTATTCGGTTCACAGACCGTAGTCGATGAAGTATCAAAGACCGAAGGTATCGTTACTTACGAGCAATACGTTGGTGGTAATAACTTGGTATTAAAACAAGGTAAGGTCTCGCTTCATTTTCTCATTCTTGTCTGTTTCCGATTTCACCTCTATTGACTCTTTCCATAGGCGATTGTGTTTTTGTTCCCTCGGATAGTAGTTTTTCCGACCGACAAATCCTCCGGATTGAAAAAATATGGAAGAATGTTAAGTATGTGAGAATTTTTGGTCTTATTTTTTCAGGATTTGTGTGCGATTAGGAAAGAATTTTGCCTGAACTGCAAAAAAGACAAATTGTTAATGCTGTCCCTTAAGTCACTCGTAATGCAGGTAGCTGTTTTTTGTCAAATAGTTGTTTTACGGTTGTCATCTGGTATTGCCAAATTTAGATGAATCATTGCAATGTGATATTCACGGTTCCTACTTTGGATTGGTCATGGTGTTGAAGATGATATTCTTTTATTTAATCAAAATAAACGCTACGGATGACCAATCTCATTTGATGAGGCAAGTTAACTTCTCTCCGGGCGTTTCCTCAATTAAACGACAGTCATTAATAGTTCTAGGTTGTATTTTGACAGAATCTAACACAATTTATCCCACACTGGGCCATATTCATTGTTGGTTTAACTTCGTTTTCACTAACAATTTTTATTTAAGCAAGATGTAATCGTGCTCTTGTTCTTCTAATTTTAATAACAGTGAGGCAGGCGTATCGGTGACAGGTTCGATATTCGTCTTTCCCGCAGAGGTGGAACACTTACCCACTCGTGTCTTTTATCCCCGGGAGGTATTTCTGACTAACAATGACCGAGCCACCTTTTCCATCACCTCGGTCAAGGGAAAATGTGTTGTAATGCGTCCTGCTGATTTCTCTATCGGTACTTTGCTAAATTTAACACATGAAGTCGTTGGATTGTTGTCGCTTCTTTCTCTATCTTGACTGTTTCGTATGAAATCTTAGATTTTTTAACCAAGATTCTTTTTTTTCTTCTATTAAGCGCGACCCACATCGTATCGCGAAGGCGACATTTTTGTTTGTGAATCCAAATATTTCGAAGATGAAAAGGTCATTCGTAAATTGAAGAAAGGATTGAAGGTTGGTTTTTGCCTTTAACCTGTTCTCTGGAGTTACTGGAATTTAACTTTAATCAGTGGTCATTTCAGAAGCCTAAATTCTCTCCGGACACTATGGGGGATGAATATTTCTTATTCAGTCAGCCAATTGTGCCACACAAAGTATGCACCCCTTTGTTACTCTACCGCAATCATGCCCGTTAAAGTTTGGTTACGATATTTGGATAAGAATACTTTTACCACCGTTTACAGATTCAAAGTTTGTTAAGATTACCTTTTGAATTTCCTCATCTAGCTAAAAAACGTAAACATTGCACGCATTTTAATATCGAAGTCAGATTAATCAAAAACGTCTGACTCCTCATGCCTGTTCAACTCTCGACGTGTAACAATACAATCATGCTTATTGTCGTCTCGTGCTTTTAGGAGGCATCTCCACTGCTTGTGAAGGCGTCGCCATCACCACTGATTTTGGATCAATTGAACCAGCCACCTTCTATGGCTGTCGCTTGTGTAATGGCAGCAGCCAATGGACAGACGACTCCAGTGGCAGATTTTGGGCCGCGTCTGGCTCCTGCTCCACCCCAGTCACCCGATGTTGGACAGCTCGCTTTCATGGAGGTTGGGCTGGATCGCAGTGGCAAAAAGGTGGGTCGATGCATTGATCGCAAATTATTCGAACGCTTCCCTTTGTTAAACGGTGTTTACTGCTTGGTCTCTCACCCCCTTTAACTCTATTATCAACTTACGGAATAGTTGTTGAGTGTAAATAACCTTGCGTTTTTTTGTTTTACAAAACGTTTAGTTGGATGCCATTCTGCACCTGAACGCATAGAACTCTCCACCGTAGTTTTCCATTCCGTTAAAATCTTACAGATAAGTTGCATGTTTTTTTGCCCAAATGATCGTACACAATCGTGGCATAGGCATTTAAAATATTAGCAGGCATTGGTTAAGCAAAGCACTAAATATCTTGTGCTCATAAAGCAGAACCGCATCTGATAGTTAAAAATATCCGTATTTCTAAATCCCCAAAGTTGATACCGTCTTTGTTAAATATTTAGAACTTTGATCATTGGGATTTGTGTCAAAGAAGTGAATATCCAATTGATTGCGTGAGCTTGTCATCCATATGTTTATCTTCATGAGTTCAAATTAAGGTCTAATATCATTGTTTAAAAATATGAGAGAAATAATTTGCCAATCATGCGTAAAACTGCTTTCATACTCCTATGTGGAACTCGTCTCGATGGCCTGCTGATCAGCTGTCCTAACCAGCTGTGCAAAAATGCGCTTCAAGTTTCAAATATAGATTTACATAGGATCATATTCACCCAGCGGCTGCACTATTGGGTCACTGGTCATGTGATTTTAGGTCGGTGCTTTTTCCTTCCCGTTTTTAATGCATTGATGATCGCAAAGCCCTTGTGTCTACTTTATCTATTTACGAATAAGCGTCTTTCAGTCCCATATTTTTGTTTTTACGCTACCTAACTGCACAATCGTACATGCGGTATCAAGCACCATCAAGTTGCTAATGCATTTCCTTCGTTTTTTTTCACTAGCGAAAACTTCGTAAGCCGCCGTCAGGATATGTAATCTACGCTGGTGAAGTTCGCAAGAAACTGCTCCAAGACCGCCCTGACGCACCGTTTGGGGAAATTTCACGTGAAGTTGGATTGATGGTGAGTCCACAAATCACGTTTATCAAGCGACGAAATGAATTGACGGCATCGCTATCTGTTCTTTTTGCACTAGGCCATGCACAGTATGGGTTAGTTTGATTGGTGAATGCCCGGTTTTAAAAAAAGGACTAACAAAAGAACTTCACCAACGGGCTCATAGTAGTGTTGGACTCCCTTTGAAATACACACTCCCACTTTGTCTGTTTGAAGCGGTTTAGTTTGAAATCTTGGTTTCCTATACCGAACGGTATGCAAAGTTATTTTTATTTTACAGTGGCGTCAGATGCCTTCTCACGAGCGCGACATATATGAGCGCAAGGCGCAAGTCATAAAACGTCGAATGGAGGAGCAGGAGACCCAGCAGAAGGCTCGAATGCAGGAGCAGGAAAAATTCATGCAGATCCATCACCACGAGTTGGTTTCACACGGTGATCCTCATCACGTAGCCATTGGTACTGGTATGTCAACAGCGATCAACCAGGCGCCGGTCCAACTTCAGACGCCGGGCACTGCGCAACCTGCTACTCAATCCAACTCCTTATCCGTGAGTGCACCGCATCATGCAGCTGCGGGGGCAATGCAGTTCTATCAAGCGACGCCCGGAGCTCTGGGCACCCCGTCAGTCATTCAGTTGATGCACACCACCACCACTCCCTCCACTGCTGCCAACGGCGTTGTCGGCCCTGCATCCATGCAACCAAGACCAGGCATGATCGAATCAACACTGGTTGCCGGCGCCACTGTACTCACCAACGCCATGTCTCACGCTCCCGTTCTTGCTACGACTGGAGGGCAGCAGGTTGGTCTATTTAACTCAAAAAAATTAGCCTTCTTCTGAATACACATCAAACTAAGCTAATGCATTTTCTCGCTGTAGAGTGGGCTTTAAGCAATGTGTGCTTTTTCCTGATTTCCTACTACTTAGTGCAATGTGATTTCCAACTTAGAGCGTGGTGTCGGTGGTACTTTGGTCAGTTATCTTGTTTTCACTTCCCTTTTTGACACCTCTGCAATAAGTATGGTTGATATGGGCATTTGACAGTAGTTCCAATCCATTATACGATACTTAGATGCCACATTTGCACTACGGTGAAATGGTGTCAAACAGGTGTCGCATAATTCCTTGCTGTTTCATATTCGCAGGTGATATACCAATTTGCGGGTCAGCAAGCGCCAGGCCTAGCTGCTTCGGCGGCATCACCGAACGTGAGTCTAGGCGGCCCACAGGTCATCTTGACTCACCCACAGGTGACTGGCCAACACCCACATCATCAGCATCAAACTACTCCATCTCAGCCTTTTGCTGTGTTGCCAACACAGCCTCCACCTCAGTCTAGACAACATGCCATACCTCCCCAACAGGTGCAGGTGGTTCAACAGCGTGGGTTCCCTTCCAGTTCTTATCCGCTTAATATGCTAACTTTTAATCGACTTGCGAGATCTACAAGTGTTACCTACCGAATGTCCTCCTTTGGGGAAGTGTGTTGTGCGCATGTTTCAACCAAGTTGTGCTTTATTGTCTAGGTAACAGACGTGTGTCCCAATGTGAGCGTTCAATACAAATGTGTTTCTATCCTAAATTGGATTAAACATATTCAAGAACTAAATAGAAGTAGAAGCTGAGGTTACCGTCTGTTTGGATTGGTTAGAGGCTACCGTGGACTGCTATTCAACTAATCGCATCACCCAGATGTAACACTAATGCTTTCTAGAATTTGTTATTGTAGTTGTACTTATTAAGTTTCCTTTCCCTCTCTTACCTCAGTGAATTCGACCACGGTTGAGGTAAGCCACGCAACAGTGGTAAATGGAGGCAGTGGCGGAACCACAGCAGTTGTATCGCAGCCGATAACGGCGACCACAATCCAGCCGCAGGCGGCACCTCCTGCCGCTGCTGCAATTGCTGCTCCACCGCGTGCGCCATCTCCCCTCTTCGTCTCGGTGCCTCCGCGCACTTCCAGGGTGCTCCATTCTGAAATCTACCAGAGGTACGCGCTTATCATACGGTTCTGCCGATCATAAATCGATCTCTAAGCATCCACTCTCACAAACGCGGCTACTACTTTAAGTGATTCGCTCTTTCTAGGTAGTGTAATCTATCAATACTAGAAATCCTCGCCAACATACGTCTCTTAAGCCCGTTCTCAAGACATGGTCGTTTTCTAGGTATATCGACAGGTTACGTCGAAACACTCCCTGTTTGAGCGATTGGAAGAAACAGATTTCGATCACCATGGAATCACTGCCCCCAATGACACACCAGCAACAGCAACAATTAGCCTCCAGTTTTCTGGACACCCCACAGCTGCATTCTTATCACGGCGCCATCGCGGACGCCCTCTGGAGCCTACGAGATAACCTGCTCAAGGACTCACTCAACATACGCACCCGCGTTCTCGGTCTCGAAGATTTGTAAGGACGGTTGGAACCCCGTTTCCCCCTATTTGTTGTCTTCATGCATTTAACTCAGTTTTTCTCTACCACCAATGATTCTGTCGGTGTATAATTGTTCAATACATACTCATTTTAAGTAAATTAATAAGTCCACTTCTCTATCCATCGTTGGTGCTTAAAATTTTGTAAAAAACAGATCGCTAGAGCTACCCTATCGTTAGTCAAAGCCATAGACCGGTCAATCTGTGCTTTCGCTTCGCCGCTTATTTCCCGCAACAATACAAATGAGCTAGGGAGTGAGGAGAAAGCACCGTGCAAAGTCGGGTTTGTATTATATTGATATGAAAAATATACAGTGGAAATGAGTCGTTTTGCTCCTCTACCTTTTTTTCCCAAAGTTGAAGAGGGGGTTGGCGGCCTTTTTCTAAAAATCAAAATAATTTGTACTTACAATCACCACTACTGAAGCCTATTAGAAATTGTCGACAAGTCTTAGCAGGTGACTCATTCAGGGGGCTGTGCCGAACCCGAACACGGGCTGTAATTCCCTCACCTTTCGTGCCATCTGCCGCTTAATCTGAGCAACCTTCTCAGGGTTCCGAGCAATGGCCATCTTGGTCCTGTGACACCTCAGTTGGTGCATTCGTATGGGCTTTTCAGCATTACCGCCGGCTGCAGAGGTGGAAGCCTTCGCTTTGCCGGTAAACCGTTGTCGTCCCTTGGCCCAACTGGACGGTCTATAGCGCTGTCTATCTCTTGCTCTCTGGTTTGAACCCCGAATCAGGGCTTGTAGAGTTTGAGGCACTACAGAATGACACAAGTGGAAGAATGCTGCCTTTGCTTCGTACGAAGGGGGATTTAAGGTGGCGCATTTATTATAACTATTATAACTAGATTTGTTTCTGATGTTTGGTTTATAGGGAAATAAAAATGACCGCAAAGCAAAATCAATTGGACTTCGTGGGTATACATAAAAAGTGGACTAAACTTTAGTATTTGACGTAGCATTAGCTCACCCATATACTCCGGAACATCCTTGAGATGAGCCTGCTGCGTCGAAGAAAGTAGCTTGTCGTGACGCAAAGCATCCATATCAGCGGAATGATCCTCAAAGTAACTCTTTAAGCGTTCAGAGTTCATCAACTCTAATTTGATCTCCTTTAAGCGCGCTTCGCGAATTCTTTTGCGAGTTATTTTCCCAGCAACGTCCTATTTAGACAAATCAGCCTCAAAGGAAATCACTTGCCATTGCACGATATCTAAATCCGTCCACTTCTGATAAACGGAACTGATAGGGGCGGAAGATTAAATTAACTGAAACTGAAAAGTCGTAAGGAATTTACTAAAGATGCTTCTTGACAAATTAAAAATGTATCTTCTTTATACAAAGAAGGGTAGTCGCGTGGCTTGGAGCCCACCAAAAATGCAAAATAGACTCCAAAGTAGACCACTAGCAAGTCTATACAAAAATTACAAACTTCACAATTTTACAAATCAAATACGTAGTGCATGTTATCCATGAAGACACTGTAAATACACAGTTCAGTTAAATGGTGAGGCTATTGATGCGGCCACAGCAGCCCACTATAACTTTAAAAGCAAAACTTGTAGACTACAGTGCGATTAGTTCAGAACATAAAACGTTATTAAATGTTGGAAGACAAGCTACCGGCTTTGTTGGTTTGATCAGCCCGAGGATTAGAAGCCTCATTTTGCGAGAGGAGATTGGCCACTTCCGAAAGTTGTGACTCCTCCGAGCTATCGACAAAAGAGATAGCTGTGCCCATTTGGTCAGCTCGTGCTGTACGCCCAACACGATGCACGTACCGTTTAGCAGTCAGTGGAAAGTCGAAGTTGAGTACGTTGCTGACTAATTTGAAGTCAATACCACGCGATACACCGTATTCGGCGTCTTTCACTGGTTTTAGACTGATAAAAAAGTATCGCTAATGCACTTAGTGAATGTAAAACTGAAAAGACGACATAAAATTCTTGAAGGCTTACACATTTGTCAATTAAAATGAGAAAAAAACATGAATCTAAACCTTTACTTCAAATAATCATTATTTGATTATTTATTAAGCATAAAGTATAAATTGAAGTCGTTTAAACCAGAGAGACCTTTGATAATTAAAACGTAATATCTGTAACGAAGAAAACTGAGAACCATGACCCACAGCTTATCCCTTTTAGGTGCATTTGTAACCCCTTCACTGTCATTTTCGTCGGTCGCTAAAAGGTAGTCATAAAGTCCTCTGTTAAATTGCTGAACCGTGTGACACCTTGACGCCACGGGTAATTCAGAATTGAGTACCACCGATTTAACACCGAATTCCTCCAGAAAAAGTTTTAGTCTAAAGACAACGCTTGTGGGAAGAAGGACCTACTTGTAGCATCGATCTATAGAATTGGTGAAAATAATTGTCCGACCACGAATCAACTTAAGCTGAATCATAGATATAAGAATAGCGTATTTCGATGACTCGTCAGCACTAAAGACAATGAAAAATTGATCTTAAAATTACCTAATCACGTATTGGGCAAGCTGAGACTCAGAGGGAAGAAAATTCTCTTCCGGTAATTCTACTCGAACCCATTCACTAAGTTTGAAAAAACCGCGCAAAGAAAAAGTTGCCTCATCCAGTGTGGCAGACATCAAGATGACCTAAACGGAACTGCGAAAATTTAGTCGGTTACCTGTATTGACTTCTTCGGAAGAAAAGTTTGGAGCGCCTGCATATGTTTCTCGTAACCAAAAACGAAGATTAGGTCAGCTTCATCAATGACAAGATGTTCAAGAGCATCGAGAGTAAGACGCTTCCTAAGCAGTTGTTCCGATATTTTCAACGGAGTGCCAACAACAATGTCCGGATTTTCGGCCAGAAGAGGTCTTGGGATAAACAGTGGACAAATCCGATGAAAAGACAAACTTAAATAAGCAGGAGGAAATCACATGAGCAATTACCCCAGAAGATCAATATCATCCGATTGGGCAAGATCAAAGACGTTCACATTCTTCGACGCATATTTACACAAACTCTTAATGTCCTTCGATATTTGACTACATAGTTCCCTCGTTGGAGCTAAAATTAACGCCGAAGTGCTCTGTTCCGACTGAAACTACACAGTAACTGAAATTACGTAAAATACATACAATCTTTGTTTCAAGTATAGATTGGATGATAGGAATAGAGAAAGCCCCAGTTTTTCCAGAGCCAGTACGGGCTTGTACGCATATACTCTTCTTTTCTAGGGCAAGAGGAATGACAGCCTGCTGTATGTCCGTCGGTCTCTCCCACTTCAAATCAGATATTGCCTAGCACGAATAAAGACAAAAGAAATTTTGCTACAGATAACAGCCGCTGATCAAGATTCATAAGGTGAAATTGCTCTACTAGAGACATGACCTCGCAAAGGCACGGCCCCCAGGCGCTACGCGTAGTCCGAGGCACGAGCAACCAATAGTTATACAATATCAATTTCAACTACTTTGTCAACTTCATTGTAAATGCTGTTGTAAAGTATTTTTCACAATCCTGAACTACTGAGGCCAGTTTTAATTTAGTCAAATAAATGCGTATTCTGCGATTAACGCAGCAAAGTAACGTTTACCAATTTCAATGAAGCAAGGCCTGCTCCTCGCAAACTGCGAATAACCTGCTTAGGAAGATGACGGACATGGCTCTGTTTGACTGCATTCCAAATGAAATAAACGAACTTTTGGTTTCGTTTTCGGGTTCTATCCAAGGCATAAGCGATATAATAGAGTCTTACAAAGAAGCGATGAAGACGAATGCGATTGAGGTATTCTTATGCCGACCCATTGCGGGTATTTCACCATAGTTACCGCCGATGCAGCGTGTTCAGACTGAACTATCTCTCGCATATGCCATGAACGCGTTATTTTTTGGTAGGTTTTATCTCCGACATCTCAACGTATGATTTGCTATTTGTGCTTTTACCTACTGGTTTTAGTATACCTTCGATGTCATGGCGTTGATGCTAAAGACCACCCAATTTTGAAGGAACTGGTGAGTTTGCGTTCTTTCAGGCACTGCTTGTACTTGACTTTCTAAAATGAAGATGCCTATTGCTGAGTTTGTATGCAACTGCTCCTACTGAATATTTTCCATTTCGTGACGCTTTTAAGAGGGGAACGTGGTGTCTTAGTTTCATTTGTCGTCGTGTTACCGCTCGATACACGGTCTCTTTGTAGGAACGATTAACGGCCTGCCTAAAGCGATGTCAGAATATTTGTAGCAAGCAAAGTAGCGAACTCAGTCACTCCCGCTTAGACAAGGAAGCATCTAAGCGTTTTGTCAAGCGTGCACTTTGGCAGTCGGCCCAATCAAAGACCAGAAGAAGAAAACTTGATAGTGACAGTTGATTTATACATATGTAAATGTCTGTGACAACATTTATTCTACACTGCATTCCTTATTCGTCTGAATTGTACGAGCAAGTCCCGCTACTATACACATCGATTCTCGTTTCGTGATTTAGCCTACTGCCTAGGATACCGGTACGGGCTTCGTGAAACTCATGATTTCTAGTTTCTTACTGAGCACTACTGGTGTTTGACAACAGTAACATTGGTTTTTAGGTAAGTTCCGGCAATCAGTGGTGGTCGTCCCGCACTAATTGCGCGGCAGCTCGGGTTAGCTCCTTGATGGGGTCTCCCCATGAATTCGCATATTTGGTAACAAGGTTTGTGAGGTGCTGGTAGGTAGTCCTGCAGGCTGAGTTCACGTCGGGTGAAGCATTGCGATAATGCCTGTTGTTCACGTGTGGTTAAAACCAATTAGCAGGTTAGGGTGCGCTGTTTCGACCGTTCTCTCCTCCCTGGCGCAGTCAAAGGCCGTCCACGTTGTGAACTAGGTTTGCTCAAAACACTCGTACATCCGAATGTTAGCCCAAAGCAGATGTCTAGCCTGCAGCTTATTCAGGCATCTTATGGGCCCAATTCAGTTACCACTGAGTCGGGCTTTTGCAGAGCATGAGATTGTCAAATCCCGCGAGGAAATGAAACTTGTCCAAATGTGGGGAAATCCAGCTTCTGCTCCGGAATATCGGTAATAAGTTTGTGGCCAACTGGCTGGTACAAACATTGCACTTATCACTATGCGTACCCATGCCATGTCGATGGTAATACCCAAGTATTTGCGTATGACGGTACAATTCATGCAAAGCATATCCCGTAATTTTAAAACCAATTGTAGAGGTAAGTTACGAAGAGGTGGCAGTTATATAGTCAAGAGTGGATTCGTTCCAAGTAATCCAACTAAGATTTATCATTCCAAAACACCTCGAGATATGTCTTTAAGCCCTTCCTAGTGCAAGATCCGTACCAAAAACAACGAACAAGAGTAACCCAATGGAAGCTGTACTTCATATCTAGTGACTTATGGAAATTTAAGAAATGTGTTTGTCGGTTTACCATAAAGAGCTTCTCAAGGTATGTCTGATTTTAATCAACTTCGTCTATCTTGGCAAGGTTTCAATTGCGCATTTAATGGTGGCAATGGATTAGATGGGGGTACACGCAAGAGGCTGGCAGTTAAGGAACTTCAAATACGCTTCGGCGATTAATAGTTTTTGCATTATGACAGTTAAATAGGGTAACTGCGTTTCAGCAACGCCACAGATCATATCTCAGACGCAAGTATTCAGACCCTGGACAACACTGCACCTTATTTCGTCAACCAATCAAATTGAGGTATCCAAGACTTTACTTCTATATAATGCTTCACTTCAAAAGTAGATCCAAATCGGCATAGCACTCTCGAAAGGGTATGTTAGTAGTATTTCTGATTTAAGCACCCTGTTTAGTATGCCTTGAAGGCTTACAGGGCAATGCGGGCAATCTTATTTCCGACGTTTTAATATACTCTCAAATGTTGAATAAAATAGTCACATTGCGCGAAATTCCCCAAACATCAAAATAGTTTACGCTGTTTAGTATAAAAACTAGCGCAGAAATTATGGTGTGATGCTTCATAAATCACTCCTTCACTCTCCTCCATTGGAAGTAAAATTGGTTTTCTCTAGAAGCATTACGCAGTCTTCTTGATTTCAAATGCGGACGGTAACTTGAATTATATTTCTCATTAGTAGATTGACTTGGAAGACAGACCAATGTCACCTTCACACTTGTTTGACCTTGCTCTTCTACTGACTGCATTCGCCGCCGTAGATTCATTGAAGGTCAAGTCGACAGAGGAGGGTTTGCGGTCATTTCCCTCTGAACTGCAGCCAAGCCTCTTGAAAAGGCTGCAAATACTCGGGGACAGGGACTTAGATATTCCGACTCTTCTAGAACTTTATGAATTGGAAAAGCGTCGCACGATGCCTTACAGTGGCGGTATTTTTGGCCGTTGACCGCCTCGTTGTGCTATATCTCATAAATTTATCTGACTTGAGAGAAATTTCTTTCAAATTTAATTAACATACGTTATGCCACACAATAGAACCCCGAATTATTTTTTCGTTGTCCTAAATTCAATTAAAAATAGATATGTGAAGTAGACTCGCACGCGTTTTGGCTCAAGCTAACAATCTCTTCCAGCATATGCTTCCAAATAGTTTCGCTTTTATTGAAAGGATGAATTAGATTGCATACGATCAAAATGACCATTTCGAAGGATCTTTAATTTTAGTATCTGCAATGATAAGCCTTAGGCTGTCACCCAATCGTCCGAGGCCCCCAGTCTCACCAACACTGATAAGTGTACTAAAGTAGTCTCTACACTCTGACCAGACGACTGCAGAGCCGCATTAATTGGTCTGCCAGTAGATGTTTCAAACGTTTGAAGCTTGAAGAATAATTATAACTCTGTGGGGCCCTTTATTGTATGAAGCAGTAGCTGGTCTTAGTGCGTGGGAATGTGCACATTACATAAATCTTAGGTCAAATTCTAATTGCAATTGGAGTAATAGAAAGTTGTAGACTTTCACCTTATTCATTGTCATTCTTTTAGTTTATATCTCGTATGCAATAGACAGATTTATGGTCACCTTAAGGTTGGGTACATACTAAAATTGCTGCCTTAATAAGGAAACCTGCATTATAAAAATTCTTCGTTAAAATGGCATTATTTGGAGAAATAGCATTGTGAATAGAAGATGGGCGAATTCGAAATATTTTATGCTGCTTTTTCCAGTGGTAGAGGTTCATTCCCTTCAAAACTTAGTTTAACATGCTCAAGCACTACTGGAGCTGGAGATCTCCTTTCCAAACGATTACGCGATAACTATCGGGCAAGAAATTCGTTTAATTGTCCGTTACTTTTCACCTGAAATTTACAGTAATTCACAGCATAATCTATGTAATCTGTGAAAACTTAATAAACTTGAACGACGCCCTGAACCATTATCCAAAAATCCAGATAAAATCAAAAGAGCTAATACACTTCGCACTACATTTAAAATTTCCAACAAATGCCACATCAAAACAAGTAATTCACTGCATAACTTGATAAACTAGAAAAAGATTTTGAAATAGCCAGTATCAACCAAAGTCTTTAAAAAAGTCAAATAATCCAAGAATAACTGGTAAATCAGGGTTTATCTTTGGCCAGCCAGAGAAGTTTTGAGACTGGTGCAGTGTGCCCAAGTCCAATTTGGAGTTAGAAATTCTTTCGTCAACAAGATTTTTACCTTTTGTCAGGTACAGTGTATCAAGTGCTATTATTACGACAAGCTGTTGCAGTTCCCCAAGCAGATTCACATTTTTGTCACACATCGAATAAAGCATCGAATGACAACCTATAGCGGTCGGTTGGATTCGCCACCCTTTGTTGTCACAAGAAAATGTAGTTTGATGGCAAGGTGTCCAAGTGTGTCAATACAATTTTCATTCTCCTATGCTCAGTGCAGAGGAGCGTACCCAAGATGATTACATTGGTCCAGCAAATATGGTACTGGAGGGTTTGTTCTTGGTGTGCTTTCATTGGATTTAACTTGCATCTAGTTGGGGCGTACAGGCTCTAAGCCACAGAGATTGAGTGTCTTCTGCAGTGAGGTATTCATTCCTTTCATGTTGTGCTACAAGGTCTTCGTCGGCTGATTTTGTCTATGAACATGGGTGGTGTACATAAATTTTGAACGACTCTGAGCTGTGCCTATCAATTCCAATCGAAATTCCAAAACTTCCTAAAGTGTTATCCTACTAATCTGTACCCTTGTGCCCAGGATAATAAAAAGTTAAGTCATTTAAAGCAGAAGAAATCCTCTCTTTACTCAATTTGGATTGTGAAATTTCACTCGCCACAATGTGAAAAATTCGTTGTCTGCAGATCTAATATAAGGTCCGACAAATCATTTTGGTCTATCTTTTCCACGATATTTACGGGATTATCTATAAATTCTATAACGCCATTTCCACAATGATTGAGTTGGTTAAAATGAAATAACTCTTCTTACATTTTACCATTTATTTGCCTTGATAATGCTTTCAAACAAAGTGTACAGTCACTTTTGTTAGAGTTTACTAAAGTCCCCTAGCTTGAATTGCCCGACTTGGGGCAAAATCCAACTGGAATTTTATATGATCGAAATTCTGAGACCTCCTGAGGCGTCACCTCATTTTCGCTCTAGTTCTTCAAGTTTACTTCGTCGGGATGTGGAGACTTCATTGCCGACATTCATAGGTAAAACCGTTAAACTGCTCTTGTCTGAACCATAATGAGTTGACAAACCGTCACATTTTCTCTCCATTCCAAAGTAGTTTTGTCAGGGGCGCTTTTGATACAAATGGATTCATTCTCTTCTGGAACATGAATACCTTCTTTATGATTGGCTGAAAATCCAAAATTTTTGTATATTACAACACACGGGTAAGATTCACCATTACCTCTTTTCATGAATACCATTTTTGCTTAAACTCTAGGAATGTAAGACTTGGGGAGACAGACTTACTCTCGTACTCAACTTTGCCACCCGGTTGTCCATTTTCATTTACAATTACCCACTACACGTACAAGATACGAATCTTATAAGATGAATGAGTCAGTAGGGCAGCAAATCAGCTACGCATCAATTCTATTTATTCTGATTCTTACAGCAGATGATGGCGATTTATGACGATTCAACGTAAAACGGAGCCCCAATAATTCAAATTATTTTTATCCTTTACATTCTTGCTTTTCCCATTCAAGCATATCCCCCGGTAAACTTAATTTTGTCAAACACATGCAAGTTCCCTACATTTTAAAGATGATCTTTGTCGTCGGCGTATCCTCCTTTTTTCGTGAGTCATGGTAACCATGGCAAATATGAAATCCTAGACGAGGGAGCAGAGACGCAGTGAAATGTTACAGACACGGTGAATAACCCTTAGCAGTAAATAACAAGTTTTATCTGGCTATATGACTCAAAAGAGCTTCCTTAGTTAAATTATTTAGAGTAGATTCCGCTTAAATATATCTTAAGTGTGCTGAGTCTACATAATGCTTGCGAATGAACAATATCTGGCATCGTGCACGAACCGAGTAGTGGAAATACAAACTCAAGTTAATCCTTCGTTCGTGAAATATGGTATGTAACGGTTTATGCACGACTTCTGCCAACAAGACTCGGTTTTAGTTTTTTTTCTGAAATTCACTGCCAGGTAGAGCAGCTGAAAATGGCTTCACTGTACAAGTACACTGATGATCGCGCCATAAGAACAAAATTGACGAAAGTTCTCAACAGAACACAACAAACTTGTGTTTAAATGCATTGGAAACCTACAATGAGACAAGCTACTCGGCACTTTATTCTCAAGCTACTAGTAACGAACTGGTCTCAGTGCACGGATTTCCCTACCTTCTGTTTTCCCACATTTCTGAAGTGATGTCCACCACTCTCCTCTTAAGTGGTGACACGGTATCCCTCCATATGGTACGTGCTGCAAATAGTTATTGCCTAATCAGCATGCTTGAATTACGCACGTACATATTACACCGATGTCCCGTAAAATATATACGCAAAGCAGAGGTGTGATCAAAAACTTTATTGTGATGGATATGAAAAGGATATAAAATTGCGCGCACATATATAGGGTGAGTAAAATGTACAAATTGGCATCGCATTTAGCAATTTTGATCATACCAACATATGTAGCGGCTGATGGAAAAATAAGGACATTAAGCGCTGCTACTCTGCAGGTGCCAGCTCTGCTCGTGTGATTAACGTTTCTGACGCAGACTCTGCGGCCGACTCTTCGGCAGTGGTGGTGGCAGTACCGGAATCCATTGACTCACCGACAGGTTCCCCCTCTGTGGCCGCTGGAGGGTCGATCCCCGATGGAATAGTGGTGGTCCCCAAGGCCTGAATCGGTGCCTGTGTCATCGCAGTAGTTTGGGCAGATTCAGCATGCGGTTCTGGTGTGTGCCAGGTCAAACGCTCTTCATAGAAGCGAATAACCGTCTGTGGGCATTTAACATGAGCTTCCCTCGCGGGAACCAAGTCCGCTTCATTTGAATCTTTCCTGCATTAAAAGACGAAAAAAGGCAGTCAAGCTAACTGAGAAAAGCTTCAAAGAAAGCTTTATATCTCTAATAAAAACACTAACAAACCACTTTATGAGGAACATAAGCTCGCCGCTGGAGTCAGTAGCACCTATGATCCGATCCGGTTTTAGACCTCTTGCAAAGCCTCGCGCAGTTTTCGATGGACTCTAAAACGTAAACCGTATTATTAGTTGTTTACGAAAATAGTTTAATACGAACACACGGACTTACCTTATGAATAACACTCGATGATTCATCGGCGAGCCTTTTTGGTTCTGAGACAAATTCTTCAGAGTCGCTATGAACTGGTCGACCCCGCTTCCTTAGAGGCTCCGAAGCGGTAAGCAATTTCGTACGGGGAGTAACTTTGGCTGAACTGGAGGACGGACGACCAGGTGTCAAGACAGAAGAACGTTCCCTCAACATACGTTCTTCAAAATCCTGAAAAGAAAAAACGGGGCCTATAAAATATTAAAACACAGGAAACACTACAAACCGAAACGCTCTTGTAATACTATAATGAGTGGGATCACCACTATAAAGCTCACTGACTGTTCAAACGAGTACAACCTTGATTAAATCCGGACAGTCGAGGTTTTCCTCAGGTTCCCAAGAATTGTCTTCTTCTGCGTATCCTTTCCACTTTAGAAGGTACTCCTTTTTCCCGCCACGAATGCGAACCTTAACAATCTTTTCCACCTGGTATTCACCTTCACCGATATCACTATCTTCGGACTCGTGCAGATCTACCTCGGTCATCATACACCGGAAAGCATGAGCTACACAACACTAGCAGGTCTCGAATGTGATTGGTCGATAAAAGACTAAAAAGTAGAGCAGGTCTGAAAGTCAAATGATAATGGATACATACCAATGCATTTATATCAAAAAGGAAAAGAATTCAAATATTCTTTTTTCAGTGTCAAATTGTTGTTAGATAAATGTCGATAAAAATAAATCTCGATAAGAGTTTCAATAAACTCAGTCTTCTCAATACGTCAAGATGATTCTGTGGAACATTTTGCTGTCTTGTTTAGTCGCACACTTAAAAACGCAGGCACTTTAGCATCTACAAGTTATAACTTCGTTCCACGGCATGGCCTCCGGGCCTTGGTGACAGACTCTTTGTCATACCACTAAAAAAACTTAGACCACTGCAGTTTTTAATTTAACTTTAATCCTTCTAGATGTGCTTACGTACATGACAATATTATAAAATATTCCAAAAGGGTTAAAAATCCAAGGAGTGTGGAAGCATGGAAGTAGCATGTGACGCCTAAACACTTGCTTCAGTACACTTTAGCCACACTCTTTTGATCCCTCTAGTTTGTGTTTTATACGACTGCATGACTTTTTAGCGTGTGTCTGAATTCTCCTTCGCCCTCTCTACCCTGACAATAAACCCTACTACCACTTTAAGATGTCTTAAAATAAAAAAAATCTAACTTTACTAGCCTATTAAATTTAAATAGAACAAGAGGACTATATTTGCTGCAGACGACTAAAGACTCATCAAAGAAGATTTCTAAGGGGATTATCTCAATACAACCTACGCAAATCCAAGCTCCCGCTGGAATTCTTGCTCTCAAATTATTCCTTATACAGTGACATGGTCTTCTAATGGTATCCATGATCTCCCAACCCTTCACTCAGTCTACAAATCTTTACAAGAGCATGGCTCACTAGGCTTTTGGGAAAGGCACGGGAAGCTACAGGTATAGTGTAGCGTCCCGAGACTCCCTGAAGACGAAACAAGACAAAATACTCGGGCAGAATATATATATTCAGCACGGAGAAGGTGCCTGGGCTATTAGCATGGCCCAAAAGCCAGCGAGGTACGAGGGGGCTAATTCAAGGTCCAAAGTTGGCGCCTCATCAGAACCGAGGGATGAGCCACTATCGCATTACAATAGCGTATACATATCTTGGTTCAGAGGACAATAACTGTAGCGTCCCGAGACTCCCTGAAGACGAAAGAAGACACAATACTCGGGCAGAATATATATATTCAGCACGGAGAAGGTGTCTGGGCTATTGGCACAACCCAAAAGGCCAGCCCACCCAGCGAGGTACAAGGGGGCTAATTCGAAGTACAAAAGTGGCGCCTCACCAGAACCGAGGGATAAACCACTATCGTATTACATAACAGCTCGTGTTTCCCATCCTTACATTGTGAACTAAAATAATTTTAACTTTATCAGTTTGGTTTTGAGTAAATATATTTGAACTACGAAGCACAATGTACTGATTGCAATATTGGCGGCACTGTATCCTAAAACCGAAACGCAAATATAATTTTTAAACTGTACTAAGGATTTATAGCAATAAGTTTCTTTAAGGAGTTTCCGAAATTCTTACTACGCATATTTGCCTAGTACAATTTATGTTTGCGCCTCTCTTTTTTTTCTATCACCCACTGTTGTTTAGGCTGGTAAATTTTTCTATAAATTGTAACATTTGGCAGACTGGGCAACCTTTTCCTGGTGTTTGTTTATAACGGAAATTTGACAATTTTTCGGTCCCGGTCTCTATTTTGTGCGTGGATTGTTTGTTAATGCTAATTTAGATCGTGCAGTTCTCCCTTGATTATTTGTTATAACCATTTGTTCGGCACTTCTAGTCTCCTCTGGAGTGGTTTTATTCTCGCTTCGTGGTTTATGCTGTTAAAGTTTGTGCGCATCCAGACCATTTGTGGTTCCTCATGTCTAGTATTGTTTATTGCCTTTATTTCTAGCTTTCCCTTTCTTCTTGTTATATCTTCGAGTTTTTCTAAAGTTTAATTGTGGGTGCTTGTATTTTATGGGCGCTTGTAAACGTTTGGCTCATCATTTACTGTTAGCTCTACCAATGAGTTTGAAGCTCCTCGTGTGGCACGTTAATATTCCTGGGTCGCTCTTGCCTCTTTTTAGCAGATGCTCTATCATGCGACTGAGATCTAAAGTAACTAAACTATCTGAAGACACGACTGAGGATAACAGTTCTCCCACCAACGTTCTCTCCGGCCACCTCTCCTGTCGCAACGTGCAACCTTCAGCTCAGACGCGTCGGTCATATGAGCTGTCAAATTCCGGTAGGTGCCCGCATTACAACGTCCCATCCTTATCTTCCACTTAAGAGTGTTCGAAAGAACCTCAAAGTGCCTCGTTCGCCCTTCATGTGAATCACTTAGAGGTGGTAGTCGGACGGGAAAAGGAAATCAGTATTCTTAACCATTTGCTTTCTCCGTGGATTGATGAACGCTGCAGCGGCAGTCTCTACATTAGTGGTGCTCCGGGGACGGGGAAGACTGCTACTGTCACCCAGGTGGTGCAACGCCTTGTCGATGAAAAAAAGTGTCGATGTTTATTTCTAAATTGCATGCAAATGACTCCTCCGCGCGTAGTTTACACTTGTATACTTGAGAGCCTAGGTCAAAAGCCTGTTTCTAAAAGTGTTTCTACTACGGCAAATATTATTGCTTACGTTGAAACGCAGCTGACAAGAGCATCAAGACGCCTTCCGCTTATTGTGGTTCTTGATGAAGTTGATCAACTTGCCTCGCGATGTCAGGAGGTTTTTTATACGTAAGTGTTTGTTGGCAATCTTACTGCCATTATCATACATGTACCGTTGCACAATTCTTAAGTTTAGCTTCTCACTTCCACCAATTGGATGATTTGCACTTAAGCCAGTCTAGTTTATACATTGTTTTAATCCATAGGGTGTTTGGATGGCCGAAAAGCTTGAAAGACGCTCATCTCATTCTGGTTGGCATCGCGAACGTTCTCGACTTGACCGAGCGCCTGCTTTCGGGTCTGCAAGCGCGCTTGCTTCGCCCTGTTCACGTTGCGTTTTCGCCCTACTCCATGGATCAGATTGTCGAGATAATTTCTTCCCGTCTTGTCAGTGCCTCTGGTGAGGTTTCACAGCCGGCTTTGGACGATCTGGCGGTCCAATTTTGCGCGAAAAAGGTTTGGATGCAAACGTGGCTTAAACTCGTTTTAGCTGTCTGATAGTAGATGGATTAAAATAGAGGGTGATGGCACTTTTTAATATTGAAGGGCTCTCAGAAGTCTCACATACTAGTTTTAAAATAATCATTTTTTTCGGAGGTGGCAGCATCTTCAGGCGATGTGCGGATAGCATTGGCGATCTGCCGACGCGCTCTGGAGTTGGCTCGGTTGGAAACTATAGCTGCGGACGGTGCTGACCTAAAGGTTACCGAAGGGACGTCTGTCACTGCTCGTACTCTCACTCCACTTCAACAGCGCATCATGTCTAGCCCTTCTGTACGAATGTCTCTAAAAAAGAAGTGCCCTCTTGCTAAGGGCTTTGTGGCGATCGAGGAAAAGCCTGTCGTACCGTTGATTCGCCACATTAGTCAAGCCATTCGGGAGGTCCAGGTAGTTTTACCTTGTCTATGTCTAACATCTTTGGATCAGTCTTTTCAGTACTTTTTGTTTTACAGTGATAAAGCCACTTGAACAGTACATGAAAGCGATTTTTATTGCTATCTTTCTCAAAAATTTGCTTCGCTGATCATGTAACAGTATCTTTGCCTTATATTCATTGCACAACTGACAGTCCGATGGCATTGTGGTGACTAGCGAGGATGCCCGCATCTCTGCCTCTGGTGAGATGCCTCTGCACCACAAGTTGGTGCTAGCGGCCTGCCTTCTACTTCGTCGGCTGCGGGGCCTCCGGGAGGCTTCGGTGGGTCAGGTGTTCGACGTGTACACCTATATCTGTGCACAACGGGGCAGTCTTTCGCCGCTTCAGATGAACGAGTTCGTGAGTGTTTGTGAGCTGCTTGAATCCCATGGCCTAGTTCACCTCTCCGTCGGCACGCACGCCGCTGCAATCCCCACACCCGCACGGAAAAAACGCCTTTCCCTCCTTCTTGACGCTAAAGGAGTGGAGCGAAGTCTTAACGACGACCTCCTTATTTCTTCTATCCTCTCTATTCAGACACTGCCGTGATGTCGTACTGCATAGCAGTGGTGGTTATCATTGGTGGCAATTCGTGGATTTTATAGTTTTAGTGTTTTTTACAGATATTATTACAGGGATACTTCTTGCCCACTGCGTCTGAATCGAGAACCTTCTCAGAAGAATGGTCTGGTTTAAGAATCAAAATTGAACTTCCATCTTGAATGATACATGAATTTGTGCAAATTTTATTACACTGGTAATTAAGTACTGAGTCCACCGTCTTGTTCATTGAATTTAATGTGTCTCTAGTCATCGATATTCACATTACTCGATCTGGCTCTGTTGGATTTTGAGACGAAGTAGTCTGAAATTGTATCGGGCATTTGAAATTTATTGGGTCTCAGACGCGGGGTATAACATCACCTGGTGGGTCCACCACCACTGGCGTGGAGTACTGCAAATCTACTAGTCGTTCCAAATTACTTGCGCGGATTCTATCAGCTCATTTTCGACACAACCAAGCAACGGTCCAGAATATTGGGATTTGGCTCCACACAATCGGTTTACCTTTGCTGCGAGTTTCCTGGCATATGCTGCAATCTTATGACTATAAAAGCCAAGTTGGGGTTATTAGGTCTCAATTTCTATCCTGGAAGTGACGGGGGTGCTGTGCTGGTATTTTACCTTAGAGATACGGCTTGCGGTAGATCTTATCCGCAAAATCATTGCAAGCATAATTCATGTTATTCAGGTTATGAATCAAAGCAGTTTTCAGGCATATGCTAGCTGCGGCTTAATTCCGAGTTAATTCATTTGTACCACAGCGCTAGATGCTTTACTAATTTCCTGGCACTTTAAATTCTAATTTATTTAAGTTTTGCTGTTTCAATTGCATAAACTTCACAATAGCTATCTGACTTGAGTTACTCAGGTGTTGAAACAACCCATTTTAGTGGTAAATTATCTACTTATGCGTCCATGTTTTCTTCAACAAACTTGGTAATCAGTGTATTGACTTCTAAATGTAGTTACTGTTTCCTCAAGAAAACCCCCATCGAATGCGGCGCTGACATGGTTACTGCATTAATACCTCTGATTGGCATGATGTCAGTTTTAATGAGAAGAGTCTGCAGTTGACGGCATATTCGACGTCGCCAAATGAAAACTTCGCTGTTAGCATCAAAAACTGTCACTGTCGGATTCCTTCCAGCTTCTTCATTTAAAGCCTCTCTTCATGATCGGGTTTTCCTCCATTGTTTCTGCACATTTGTAGTAGATGCATGTAGTGCTTTTATTATCAAGTGGTGAAGGATTTGGTAGGTGCAATCATTACTGACGGAAGCAGTGATTACGTTTCCCTTTTATTGCACACTTAGAGGAGTCCAGAGTTATCACTGTCGCAAAGTGTAGCCACCATTGTTGGCAAAGAAACCACTACTTGAATCTAATGATCATTCATGGCAGTCATTTACTCAGCTGGTGCATACAAATGAACGCGAATTATTCAGATACTTTACTTATCCAAAGCAAAGCATTGAAAAGCAATCGTTGTGCATTGTAGTGTAAAGTTTTTACAATATTCATTTTCTAGTTTCTTTTAATAGGAGTACTAAGATTACCCCATCTTCTGATAGCTTATTTGTATTTCAAACTTTTCCGATTAAGGTAGAATTCTAGTACATATGTACGTATTCCTGCCTTTTTCAAAGCCCAAATGCGGCAGCATCCGAAAGCATCGGCGCCGACCCAGACGTGAGGGAGACTTGAGCACCGAGCTGGGGTGGTGCCAGCTCTAGTTGCCCACCTTCCTAGCCAATGTCGGCTGGGATGCTGCGCCAATCGCCGTTTTACCCAAAGCCTACCTACCTACCTTGAGTTCCTGCAAAGCGGAGTGTATGCATGTGTGTAAAGTGTTCAAACACACGCAAATAAATCGTTACCTACATCACTCACTGCAGTAGCGTCGGTCGTTTCAAAATTTAACCAAAGTGCTTCATCTGACCCACTTAAAGAGGACGTGAGTAATCGTTGGTGGTTTTACAGTTTTTTAAGTTTAGAAATGTTTAGGATTTTTCCCACCAACTGTCCGATGCTCATGACCAGAACAGTGCAAACATTTGAGCACATTTGGTACCACAGTGCCACTGACGTGTATGATAATAGAATATTTTACTTCGTTAATATTCGCACACACGCAGTAGTTCCAACTGTTATTTCTAAGTAAAATTTCAGTGCTTATTGTCGAAGATCATTGAACCAATTCATAGTTTCGCGTTAGCCTTATGAAAACTTCTCGGATATTTCTTTTACCACAATATCCCAATTGACCTGACTTAGCAGATAACTGGGTTTTCTCATTCATTTTCATTTTGCACTGCCTCTAAGACCTCAAATAGTTTGTTCCTTTATCTTGGTTTACATTATTTCAAATACCAAAGATAGATTAAATCGTGATGTTTGGTTTAATTCGCGAGGGATGAGTGTTTTCATACTGCATTCAAATGTCAGAGTTCTTTTCAAAATCTGCAATATACTGATAGTTCGCTATCATCCTGTGGGATTTTATCTTGAAAATTTCTGTCAAATTGTGATTAACTGAAGCCCTGACTCCGTATCATGATCACCTAATTAGCAATTGGCTAAAATCAAGATGAAGACCACGACGATGCAACCGATGACTGCACCAGAGTAGCGTCCACCCATCTTTTCAAATTTTCGACTTTTCAGTGCGCATAAAGTCGTGTTTAGCTGCTAATTGTGAACTTTTTAAAATGTACTAAGTAGTTTATGACATACGCATTCGTTAATTATCGTATTTGATGGTCCAGTCCATCTGTCACGCTTTCAGTGAATACTAAAGTAGAATTGATTTAATTCGCGTGAGTCAAGCTTCTTAATTCTATGCCCCACACTTTTTTCTTCAAGATAACTTCTTTCAGATAAGTACCCTCCTTTAGTCAGGAAAGCGCTCAAAGTCGGACGTTGTGGTGGGCTTTGTTCTAAAAGAACTACTAAAAACAAGCAGTATCACCACTGGACGTAAAACAAGACTCCTAAATCTGATTACTCTGCTATCTCTTTTCACTGCTTCATAACAAACTACTTACGATAAACAGTAGATGTTTTATGCCATGCACGAAGGCTTTTACGGCTATCCGAAATACGACACACCTATTTGCGATGCTTATCTACGACACTTTTTGGTAGTGATAGATTCATACAGCTTACCTGAAATCAAACAAACGAAACTAATAACACTACTGGTGAAGTCGGCTTTCAGAGCTAGAAGCAAAAATGGCCTTAAGGTTGAATGATCTAACCATCACGTACTCGTACTGACATGAAACCACCTCATCAGTCTTCTCAATAATTCATTATCAAAACATGATTCCCAATAAAGTATCAAATTAGCGATGTGCAAAACGATTGCAACTTTTATCCTTCCATCGATTTAGGCTTAAACTTGCACTACTATCCCGAATATCCTGTTTGGACCGTGTAGAAATTTAAAAGCCCTTCGGAACCTGCACCCACACCACTTCCATGAAAAATCTTCCTTTGGCATTTTCCAGTTTAGCTAATGTAGACCACAACATGCATATCGTTTATCCTTGCAACGGAAGCATAATGTTTTTCTGAAACCAGTTGGTATCCCTGTACACATACCTATTATCCATAGCTAAAAAAATTGTGCTAAAGTACTATTGTAACGTTAGATCCCTCAAACTATTTCGACAGTAGGCTTGGATCAGCATAACTCACAATAAAATACATCAAAACCCTTGACAGCTTAGTAATAGCGAATAGTGGTTGTATTGTATGCTGGAATTCCTCCATCGTTATGCAACAGTTTCCCGCCACGAGATGCGCATTTCGTAAGACCGCTGCAAGTGAAAACCCGGGGGAGAGAGAGGTAACAGGTTGGATACATAAATGAATAGGTCCACTTTCTTACTAGAATGACAACAAGGCTTAAGCCGCTGTGTAGACCGGAAATCCCGATCACTCTAACCGGTTTGTCGCTCTTTGTCTATTTCAACTGGATTTATGTCGTGCATAACGCGACGATTAAATCACTGAGCCTCGTCTTGCAGTCGCTGTGAATCAGTGACAGATGATGTTCGTCGTGCAGCATTACACCTGTGATCATACAGCATAATACTTAAATTGTCCAATAAAGAAATTGCCTTAATTGCTTTGTTTTCTACTGACCGAAGCAAAATCTAGGTAAACGACAGTGTAAGTTGTTGGAATGCAAACTTTGGAAGGTTGAATGCATCAAACTAGGCTGTGCTGCCTCGTTTATGGGAAGATTCTGTCTCTTGCAGTAATGGTATTTGAAATTTGAGTCTACAATGCAGTGAAGTGAAAACTAGAAGCCTACACCTAAGGAAGGAATAATCCTTTTCTCACAGGGGAATTTGTACTACATTTCGATGCTGACCTATGGAATCATCAAAAAGATGAGGCCTTTAAATCTTGGCGACAGGTGGGACATGGCTACTTTGTGGGAGTTGGATTGGCTATATTATCACTCACAATGGTTGCTGGGTCCTGAGGCCCAAGGGCTCAGGTGTGTTTAACAGATTTATTCTACGTAATATTTGTGATTTGATCTAGCCAAATAAAGACAACGCTTAAAGAATAAACGGTATCTTCATGAAGTGATTTAAAAACGACCGGTGATTGGTTGTTATCTGACGATTCTCAAATTATTTGTGTCTTTTTTTATAGTTGTAACGCTTTAAAATATTTGTTCTTAATAGGGACGAAAATGTTTCAGTTGACTTAAAAAGTCCTTTACTTTTTGTGTATTTGTACAAATGCTGTGAAGGTAAACGACCCAAACTTAAGTGGCTAATTCCAGGGAATCGTCGATACAAGCATCCAGGTGGTTTACACGATTCCTATCACCCAGATCGATAATTTCTGCGTTATTTAACTACATTAATAACACTTTTGGAGTTATTTGTGAGCTAACTTTACTTGTTATTAATCAATGAAGTAGTCCTTAGCTTATCAGTAGCAATGTTTCGAATTTCAGCAAG